CACACACACACACACACACACACACACACAACATGCACCCACCCACACACTCAACCCACATACACCCACCCACCACCCACACCCGTGTGTAAAACAGAAACACACACACACACACACACACAACATGCACCCACACACTCACAACCCACATACACACCCACTCACCCACACCAAACAGAAACACACACACACACACACACACAACATGCACCCCACACACACCAACCCACATACACACCCACTCACCACCCAAACAGAAACACACACACATTGTCCACACAACATGCACCACCCACACCAACCCACATATACACCCACTCACCCACACCAAACAGAAACACACACACACACACACACACAACATGCACCTACACACCAACCCACATACACCCACCACCTACCCCACACCAAACAGAGACACACACACACACACACTAACATGTGGCACCCACCTACACACCAACCCACACACCTACCCCACACCAAAAACAGAGACACACACACACACACACACACACAACATACGCACCCACCCACCAACCCATACACCCACTCACCCATAACTAAAACAGAAACACACACACACACACACACACACAACATGCACCCACCCACACACCAACCCACATACACCCACCACCACCCACACCAAACAGAAACACACACACACACACACACACACAACATGCCCACCCACACACCAACCCACATACACCCACCCACCACACACCAAACAGAAACACACACACACACACACACACAACATGCACCCACACACTCACAACCCACATACACCCACACCCACACACACACACACACACAACATGCACCCACCTCCACACACCAACCCAAGGCACCACCACCCACACCAAAACAGGAAACACACACACACACACACACACACAACATGCACCCACCCACACCAACCCATACACCCACCTACTCACCTCACCACACCAAACAGAAACACACACACACACACACACACACACAACATGCAACCACCTACACACCAACCCACATACACCCACTCACCACCTACACCAAACAGAGACACACACACACACACACACACAACATGCACCCACCTACACACTCAACCCACATACACCCACCCACTCACACACTCAAACAGAAACACACACACACACACACACACAACATGCACCCACCTACACACTCAACCCACATATACACCCACTCACCCACACCAAACAGAAACACACACACACACACACACAACATGCACCCACCCACACTCAACCCACATACACCACCCACCACCTCCCACACCAAACAGAAAAACACACACACACACACACACAACACATGCACCTGCACCTACACACCCCAACCCACATACACCCACTCCACCACCCACACCAAACAGAAAAACACACACACACACACACACACACAACATGCACCCACCCAGCACATTCTTCAACCCACATACACCCACCCACTCACCCACACCAAAACAGAAACACACACACATGCTAACACACTCTAAACCCCACACCCCACCCACCCACACCAAACACACACACACACACACACACACACACACAACATGCACCCACCCCACACACACTCAACCCACACACACACACCCACCACCACCCACCACACCAAACAGAAAAACACACACACACACACACACACACAACACATGCACCCACCCACACACTCAACCCACACACACCCACCACCCACACCTGCAACAGAAACACACACACACACACACACAACATGCACCCACCCCACACCAACCCACACCCACCCACCACACCAGAAACACACACACACACACACACATGCACCCACCCCACACACTCCAACCCACATACACCCACCCACCACCCACACCAAACAGAAACACACACACACACACACACACAAATATGCACCCACCACACCAACCCACATACACCCACCACACCCGTAAACAGAACACACACACACACACACACACAACATGCACCCACCCCACACACTCAACCCACATACACACCCACCACCACCGCACACCAGAAAAACACACACACACACACACAACATGCACCCACCCCACACCAACCCACATACACCCAGACTCACCACCTACACCAAACAGAGACACACACACACATGGCACAACATGCACCCACCTACACACACCAACCCACATACACCCACCCACCACCCACACACCCGCTAAAACAGAAACACACACACACACACACACACACAACATGCACCCACCCACACACCCAACCCACATACACCCACCTACCTACCCACACCAAACAGAAACATACACACACACACACACACACAACATGCACCCGCCCCACACACTGGGAACCCACACACACCACCCACCACCCACACCAAACAGAAACACACACACACACACACACACACAACATGCACCCCACCCCACACACTCAACCCACATACACACCCACCACCACCCACAAAACAGAAACACACACACACACACACACACAACATGCACCCACCTACACACACTCAACCCACATACACACCCACCCACCACCTACACACCAAACAGAAACACACACACACACACACAGCAACATGCACCTCCACCCCACACCAACCCACATACACACCCACCACCACCCACACCCAAACACATGCACACACACACACACACACACAACATGTGCACCCACCTACACACTCAACCCACATACACCTCCACCCACCCACCCACACCAAACACACACACACACACACACACACACACACACACAGTGCACCCACCCACACTCAACCCACACACACCCACTCACCACCCACACCAAAAAACATGCACACACACACACACACACAACATGCACCCACCCACACAACCCACACACACCACTCACCTACACCAAACAGAAACACACACACACACACACACAACATGCACCCACCCCACACACACTCAACCCATACACCCACTCACCACCTACACCAAACACACACACACACACACACACACAACATGCACCCACACACACACACACACACACAACCTAACATAAGTAATTTTGGCTTAACATAATTTTACAAGAACATCAAACACAATCACAATAATATGGGACAGCCTGTAGATTCACACCCTGCGGTCACACATTGATTGGGTCTTGATTGGGATATGCTGATTGGTTACTGTGATTGGGTATTTATAGTTGAAAATACCTCGTGAATGATGGTAAGAGGTGGAGCTTTCGATGCCATACTGTAGTGAAACCTTGATATAATGGACTTTCATCGATATATGGTTCATTAGATGGGTTTTGACATCTCAGTTTAGGTAGCTTGAAACTATCTTTGAGACACCCTGTACATGTGTTGAACTATAAACCCTGTACATGTGTGTGTGAACTATAAGACACCCTGTACATGTGTGTGTGAACTTACCCTGTACATGTGTGTGTGAACTATAAGACACCCTGTACATGTGTGTGTGAACTATAAACACCCTGTACATGTGTGTGAACTATACACCCTGTACATTGTGACAACCCTGTACATGTGTGTGAACTATAACACCCTGTACATGTGTGTGTGAACTATAAGACACCCTGTACATGTGGTGTGAACTATAACACACCCGCACATGTGTGTGTGAACTATAACACACCCTGTACATGTGTGTGTGAACTATAAGACACCCTGTACATGTGTGTGTGAACTATAAGACACCCTGTACATGTGTGTGTGAACTATAAACACCCTGACATGTGTGTGTGAACTATAAGACACCCTGTACATGTGTGTGTGAACTATAAAACACCCTGTACATGTGTGTGTGAACTATAAACCCTGTACATGTGTGTGTGAACTATAAGACACCCTGTACATGTGTGTGTGAACTATAAGACACCCTGTACATGTGTGTGTGAACTATAACCTCTGTACATGTGTGTGTGAACTAACACCCTGTACATGTGTGTGTGAACTATAACACACCCTGTACATGTGTGTGTAACTATAAGACACCTGTACATGTGTGTGTGAACTATGAACACCCTGTACATGTGTGTGTGAACTCACACCCTGTACATGTGTGTGTGAACTATAAGACACCTGTACATGTGTGTGTGAACTATAGACACCCTGTACATGTGTGTGTGTGAACTATAAGACACCCTGTACATGTGTGTGTGAACTTTAACACACCCTGCACATGTGTGTGTGAACTATAAGACACCCTATACATGTGTGTGTGAACTATAAGACACCCTGTACATGTGTGTGTGAACTTTAACACACCCTGTACATGTGTGTGTGAACTATAAGACACCCTGTACATGTGTGTGTGTGAACTAAGACACCCTGCATATGTGTGTGTGAACTAAGACACCCTATACATGTGTGTGTGAACTACACACCCTGTACATGTGTGAACTATGTGACCAATAACACACCCTGTACATGTGTGTGTGAACTATAACACACCCATGTACATGTGTGTGTGAACTATAAGACATGTGGTGTGTTATATGTACATGTGTGTGTGAACTATAACACACCCTGTACATGTGTGTGTGTGACGTACATGTGTGTGTAACCACCCTGTACATGTGTGTGTGAACTATAAACACACCCTGTACATGTGTGTGTGAACTATAACACACCCTGTACATGTGTGTGTGAACTATAAGACACCCTGTACATGTGTGTGTGAACTATAACACACCCTGTACATGTGTGTGTGTGAACTATAAGACACCCTGTACATGTGTGTGTGAACTATAACACACCCTGTACATGTGTGTGTGAACTATAAGACACCCTGTACATGTGTGTGTGAACTATAAGACACCCTGTACATGTGTGTGTGTGAACTATAAGACACCCTGTACATGTGTGTGTGAACTATAAGACACCCTATACATGTGTGTGTGTGAACTATAAGACACCCTGTACATGCACTGCCGACCTATACGCAATCAAAACACACACACTCCTCACACAACAAACACCGTGCATAATTTAACCGTCGACAATAACAACAAGACGCCATACACACCCTAACCAAATATCGCTCGTTTTATTTTGGTCAATAAACCCTCATCTGATTTGCTCTGGCGTTCAGATGAGGCCGCGGAGAACCGAGACCCACTAGGAGACGCGGTTTGACGATCTCCTGGGGGTTGAGGAGGCGGAGTCTCCTCTTCAAACGTCCTCTTCTTTCCTGTGGGGTCATGAGAAGTTGTTTACCAATCACTCACACACTAACTCTGGTCTGTCTCTAGTCAAGCTAAGTACACTTCTGTGGGCACTATAGACGACTCGTGAGAACTGATGCAAATTGATGTACACTGACGCAAATTGATGTACACTGATGCAAACTGATGTACACAGGGCTAAGTTAATACAAAAATCACCTTAAATGAAGAAATAATCCATAATATATTGTTTCAGAGGATAAACGGTTGTATACAGGGTGGCTCATACAACACACACACATATGTACAGGGTGTCTCAAAATATACTCCCTTATGTCTGTATATCATATATTAAATTAACAAATATTACATGTTAGTTTAGGTTTGGTTAGGTTAGGTTACGTCACACTAGACAACAGGACCCATCATACACACCGTCCTTGGCGTAGGTGATGCCACTTATCGTCCCCGGGGTGTCCATCTCCAGCTCCGCCAGGGCCGTCAGGAGGGCCGTCTGCTCCTGGGTCAGCTTGGTCGGGATCTTGATCTTGATGTTGACGTAGTGATCGCCGTAGCCGTGGGAACTGACCCGTTTCACCCCCTTACCCGTCAAACGGATTCTGGTGTGAGACTGTGTGCCTTGGGGGATCTGGAGGGGAGAAAATGATGTCGGTTTAGGGTCTGTTAGATGTTAAACCTCCATCTAATGAACTACAATGGCCCCTCGGTTAACGAGCACAATTCGTTCCAGAAGGTTGCTCGTTAACCGAAAAATTCGTTACCGAAAACATTGTTTCAATTGGTTTTTGGGCAATTGGTTCCAGCTCACCGAAAATTACATACAGACTAAAAATAAATGCAGTAAAGTACACTTACATTGAGGTGTGCAGGAAGAAGGCTCCTGGTTGATGATGATGGGAATTAGAATGGGGGTGGAGGAGAAGGGAGAAGAGAAGGCATTGGGGTGGAAGAGAAGTCACCCCATGCCGCCATTTCACCCATAAAATTTTAGTTCACTTGGTGTAATTCAAGATTATTTTCTTTAAATCTACACTGCACTGCATTATATATTATCAATATGGAAAATATATTTCAAAATTACCAATAATTTGACTGGAAACACAGAAAAAAGCGTTAATGTTGAAGAGAGTCTCAAACAAGATGTTCCTTCCTCTGAACCTGTAAACAAACTGACGCCAAGCTTGGTGTGTTGAGTGGCTGTTTGGCGAGCAAAAAACTAGTTTCCTGTACTTCAATTATGTTCAACAATTGTTAAATTGACTAAAAAAATTTTTATAAAACTTTTAAAATTATTAAATAGCACAACCTTCTTGATATTTACTAAAATGGTAAGGAATTTAAGCCGTAAAACCGATTACTGTATTGGCGGACTAATACTACAGCTGGTGAGCAAGACGAACCCTAAACTACAGAATAAACACGGGGAGAGAGGCCCGCTATAGGGAGGTTTTCTAATGCGACCCAACGTGGTAATGTCCTCGTGAAATTTCTCGTATCCTGGTTGCACCGCCGAGAGCCGCCTGGGCCAGAGAGATGGTCGTGGTCCGTAGGTACGCCGTCAGCCCGCCGGAAGTGAAGTCGCCTTAAGGACGCTGATGCGAACATTTTCCGCCGACAGTCATCTTAGGTCTGTCCGCCCTCAACGCCTGTAATAAATAATATCATAAACTTGTGCTTAAACCTCAATTTAATGAACTATATAGAGATGAAAGTCCATTATATCGAGGGTCAGTTAGATGTGAAACCTCAATTTAATGAACTATATAGAGATGAAAGTTCATTATATCGAGGGTCAGTTAGATGTGAAACCTCAATTTAATGAACTATATAGAGATGAAAGTCCATTATATCGAGGGTCAGTTAGATGTGAAACCTCAATTTAATGAACTATATAGAGATTAAAGTCCATTATATCGAGGGTCCGTTAGATGTGAAACCTCAATTTAATGAACTATATAGAGATGAAAGTCCATTATATCGAGGGTCCATTAGATGTGAAACCTCAATTTAATGAACTATATAGAGATGAAAGTCCATTATATCGAGGGTCAGTTAGCTACGAAACCCCACCAAACAGCAGAGAGACAAATCCATTATATGAAAATTTTATGCACGTACAGTCGTTGCTTTGTTATTGTTTACATACCCGCTGGTACAGGCACGGTGACGGTCTTCCTCTGTACGGTCTGACCTTTGCCCTCACACTCAGAACACGGGTATTTGATGTGCATTCGTGTTCCATGACAATAACGGCAAGTCTGACGCATGACGAACGGCCCTGTGGAAAGCTTGGTGTTAATGGTGGTGGTGGTGGTAGTAGTAGTAGTAGTAATAGTAGTAGTAGTAGTAATAGTAGTAGTAGTAGTAGTAGTAGTAGTAGTTCCATAGTAGTAGTAGTAGTAGTCATTTTTATATACAGTAATTCTCAAATTATTCATACTTCACAAAATTAATTACCCCTATCAAATTAATTACATCTAATTAAATACCCATCTAAATTAATCACCTCACCTGTTGAAATAGTCTCCATGCCAGTTCCATTACAGTACTGACACCTAATTGCCTTGGTCCCTGGTTCACATCGGCTCCCTGTACATTTGGGGCAGATATCGACGGTATTCAGAGTCACGTCTTTGTTGATGCCACGAGCCGCTTGCGAGAAAGTCAAATTAATCGTTATCTGTTCGGAGCAGAGTTATTGAAGGGACGAGGGGACGGGGTGTTATGTTAATGATATTTACACAGCGTAAGTTTTGTTTTCATAACCTTATTTCAACCTATGGATTACACTTTCCGACTAATTGCTCTCCTGGTGATGATTAACCCCTAAATGCCTTCTTGTCCAGGTAAACGACGCAGCCAGTTAACCAGAACACACACAATTATCACAGCCAATCAGAACACACACAATTATCACAGCCAATCAGAACACATACAATTATCAGAGCCAATCAGAACACACAATTATCACAGCCAATCAGAACACACAATTATCACAGCCAATCAGAACACACACAATTATCACAGCCAATCAGGAAAAACACACAAACGACGACACTCGACTCGCCTCTTGTGCAGCGCCGAAGCCAAACGCCGACTCTGCAAAATCCTGATCTCCCATATCCACTCCTGATCGGCGGAAATCACCAAAGATCTTCCTGAACAGCTCCTCTGGGTCGATGGTCGTCTGATAGTTCCACCCCGATTGGAATGGGTTCCCCGCTCCGCCCATTCCGCCCGCCCTACCCATCTGTTCTGTCGTGTGGCCCATTGTGTCAGATTACGCTTCTTCGCCGAGGACCTGCGGCACGCATAAGGAGATTTGACGCATATGAGTTGGGGATTTGACGACATGAGTTGGGATTTGATGTAATATGAGTTGACGACTATGCGAGTTGGATTTTATAAATATGGAGTTGGGGGATTTGGATTTATATGAGTTAGGATTACATTAATGACCCAGGCTTATACATACATTTTATGAAAGCTATAATTAATACCAAATAATACGATCTATAATAAAATACACACAAAAAATTTATCAATCCCAAGATAAAATAAAAACATCGAAAAAATAAAATCGCAAAAAATAAAATACAAAAATATCCGTTACTAAAAAATACAAGAATATCCGTCGCTAAAAAAATACAAAAATATCCGTCGCTAAAAAAATACAAACACCCGTCGTCTAACCTCATAAGCCTCTGAGACCTCGGTGAATTTCTTCTGGGAGCCGGGATCATTCTTGTTGACGTCTGGATGGTATTTCTTGGCTAACTGGTAGTACGCTTTCTTGATGTCTTTAAGCGAGGCGTTCCGAGACACCCCTAGGATGTCGTAGTAGTCGCGTTGGCCGTGCCGTGACGACGTGTGGAAGTGGAGTAGACTGCCTTGGGGTCTGGTCAGTTTGCCTGTGGTGAACATAATGATGATGATGATGATAATGATGATAATGATAATAATAATAATAATAATAATCATGATAATAATAATAGTAATAATAATAATGATAATAATAATAATAATACGTTCTTTACTAACATATGCCTAAATATAGTAATTATAAGAAATATAATAAATTATTCCACCTGAAGAAAAAAACCCAAGAAAAAAATAAAATAAATATTAAAAAATAAACGAAATTCCTGGATTAGGTTTTTAAATCCGACCTTTAATTAGCCATTTAAACCCCATAACAACCTCACCTAACTACCAAATCACCATAATAACCTCACTATAATGACTAACAACCCTTAACAAGCAGATAATAATAAGACATGAGGTTATAGAGGAAATATTACGTAATTTATATTATAGTTGGGAGCAGACGACGTCACTTGAGTCACACCTCTCAACTCACCAGCGTTAATTAAGCCTCCGAGTAGTTTAACACGTCCCATTTTTGGTGATGATTTACATAATAAGTATAAGCTAACGGTTGATGTCCTAAACAGCCTTATTTGACAGGTTAAAGCTGGGTTATGAAGGGTTTTAACCACGGCTAAGTGGCGAAGGTTAATCACGCCGGCCGCCATGTTGTTGTCCAACAGCTGAGGAAACATTCACCATTAACCAAATATTTTTAATATATTTTAATATTATAATAAATTTAGAGTTAATAAGCGATAAATAAGACCAAATAAAATAATTTTATCTCAGTTAAATTATTTTTTCTTATTATTTAACGTATTGTGATATAAATATTTTTGTGCTTAAATGAATGTTGATAAGACTAGTTCCCTGCTGTAATACGAGACAACAGGTGTGTGTATCAGCTTGTACAGGGATTTATTTACATATAAATACATCTATGCATACATAAATACATATATACATCTATACATACATATATACATACAGTTTACTAAGTTTATTGTTTATGTGTTTCATATATGACATGCCAGAAGCTATCTCCTCAATACAAATGTTTAATATCAGTTATTAAGCAAATTTAAGAACAAAATTTACTATTAATAACTATAAAAATAAATAAATATAATTAGGAGAACATAGAGATTATATATATATATTAGTTCTCTAAAATAAATATAGAATAAACCGAAATAATTTTTTTAAGGGAAAACGGGCCAATAAATTCCCAGCAGAAGCGACAATGAAGATCAAAACAGAGAGGAGGAAGAGTAAACGTTTAATGCTAAAATTATACCACGAATCATACCTCAAACCTATATTTTGTTTCAATTAAATCTAATAATTAAATCAATATAATATAAATAAATATAAATATAAATATAAATTCTATATCAATGTACTTCATGTGAATTATTAACATTTTATTCATTACATACAAGAAAATAAAGCAATGATTTGCCTTGTTTGCAGTGAATTAATTAATATAATCTAAAACAAGTTAATATAAATTCAATTAAAGATTATAGATTAATATATTTTAAGATTATCAATAAATATTTTTTATCGAATATTTATTAGATGCGTCGTCGTGTTCGTTGTGTACTCTTAACATTAACATCTTAGGGGGGAAGACGCGTCGGAGTACTATCGTCTCGTGTGTTAATTTCTGCCATTAATTCTTTTCCTATTGACGTAACATCCTCTCTACACCTTCCCAGGGATTAATACAACTCCCCCAAGGTTAATTAACCAGGTAAGTTAGTCAAATAAGGCTAAATAACGTTAAAACAAGGTAAAATATATCTGGGCTGAGTCTCCTTGGAATTATTTTATGACCTCGTATGTATATATGTCATCTTATCTCTGTAGTCTAATTAACTATATTTAACTATAATGGCAACTAATATAATTAATTTTCAACTATAATTGACTATAATCACTCGGAATATTAAGGTATTTAGGACAAAGGTTAATTAGTATTTAAACCTTGAACTTTGACATTATTTTAACTCAGTCTTATATTTATTTTATTTTTTATTTGTGATTATTGTATTTTAGGTGTTGTATTGTGGATAATATATTGTATTTTGCTTTATTTTCATACAACTCTAGATAGATAGGTAGAGATACTGTTTAAATAAAGTTAGATACATAGAACAATTGTAATAAATTTTCCATTATATCGAGGTTCATTAGATGTGGAACCCCCATCTAACGAACTAGAGGCAAGGGGAAACTCCATTATATCGAGGTTCATTAGATGTGAAACCCCCATCTAACGAACTAGAGGCAAGGGGAAACTCCATTATATTGAGGTTCATTAGATGTGAAACCCCCATCTAACGAACTAGAGGCAAGGGGAAACTCCATTATATCGAGGTTCATTAAACGTGAAACCCCCATGTAACGAACTAGAGGCAAGGGGAAACTCCATTATATCGAGGTTCATTAAACGTGAAACCCCCATGTAACGAACTAGAGGCAAGGGGAAACTCCATTATATCGAGGTTCATTAGATGAAACCCCATCTAACGATCTAGAGGCAAGGGAACCCATTATATCGAGGTTCATTAGATGAAACCCCCATGTAACGAACTAAAGGCAAGGGGAAACTCCACGATATCGAGGTTCACAGATGTGAAACCCCATCTAAATCTAACTAGAGGCAAGGAAACTCCATTATATCGAGGTTCATTAGATGAAACCCCATCTAACGAACTAGAGGCAGGGAACCCGATGAGTATCGAGGTTCATTAGATGTGAAACCCCATCTAACGAACTAGAGGCAGGGGAAACTCCATTAGGTATCGAGTGTTCATTAGATGTGAAACCCCATCTAACGAACTAGAGGCAAGGAAACCCATTATATCGAGGTTCATTAGATGTGAAACCCCCATGTAATGAACTAGAGGCAAGGGAAACTCCATTATATCGAGGTTCATTAGATGTGAAACCCCCATGTAATGAACTAGAGGCAAGGGGAAACTCCATTATATCGAGGTTCATTAAACGTGAAACCCCCATGTAACGAACTAGAGGCAAGGGGAAACTCCATTATATCGAGGTTCATTAAACGTGAAACCCCCATGTAACGAACTAGAGGCAAGGGGAAACTCCATTATATCGAGGTTCATTAGATGTGAAACCCCCATCTAACGAACTAGAGGCAAGGGGAAACTCCATTATATCGAGGTTCATAATATATAAAATAGTAAACTCCATTATAACGAGGCTCCACTTAACTGGTCTAATTATTCTTTTATTTACAGCTGCCTTAAGCCATGGGAAACCACGCATCGTCGGGCGAACGGGGGACCAGGAACAAACCCGGGGACTCCTACCCCCCATACTCGCCTGGGAGGATCGACGGCCAGGCCTTTACTTTCGATAAACACAAGGGCCAGAAGGTACTCGTGCAGCAGCCGTCCGAGGAGGAGCAAGAGCCCGTGGTCATAAAGCCTGACGTGACCAGGGTATGTGTGTGTGTGTGTGTGTGTGTGTGTGTGTTATTTTGGTTAGGTTTGGTTAGGTTAGGGTTGTGTTAAATTAGACTAGGTTAGGGTTGTGTTAAATTAGGTTGGGTTAGGTTAGGTTAATCATACACTCATCATATTAATCCCTTCACAATATAAACACACCCGGAAAATTTTATTCACCCCAGAGCAGGAAATTTTACCCACCCCGCAGAGAGACCCCAGAGAGAGACCCCACGGACAGACCCCACAGAGAGACCCCACGGACAGACCCCACAGACAGACCCCACAGAGAGACCCCACAGACAGACCCCACAGACAGACCCCACAGAGAGACCCCACAGAGAGACCCCACAGACAGACCCCCACAGAGACCCCATGACAGGCCCCACAGACAGACCCCACAGACAGGCCCCCACAGAGAGACCCCCAGAGAGACCCCACAGAGAGACCCCAGAGAGACCCCACAGACAGGCCCCACAGAGACCCCAGAGAGACCCCACAGAGAGACCCCACAGACAGGCCCCACAGACAGACCCCACAGAGACCCCACACAGGCCCCACAGAGAGACCCCACAGACAGACCCCACAGACAGACCCCACAGACAGGCTCCCCACAGACAGGCCCCACAGAGAGACCCCACAGACAGGCCCCACAGACAGACCCCACAGACAGGCCCCACAGACAGGCCCCTACAGAGAGAGACCCCACAGGAGAGACCCCAGAGAGAGACCCCACAGAGAGACCCCACAGACAGACCCCACAGACAGGCCTCCCACAGAGAGACTCCCACAGACAGGCCCCCACAGACAGACCCCACAGACAGACCCCACAGAGAGACCCCACAGAGAGACCCCACAGAGAGACCCCACAGACAGACCCCACAGACAGACCCCACAGACAGGCCCCAGAGAGAGCTAGATATTTTATTAACCACAAATTATTAACACAGAGTTTACACTAAAATTGTACATCAAATGATTCAAATTCTTTAAAACACCAAATAATAATAATAGTTCACCGATTCAACAAGTAACACTAAAACAAAGGAAAATCACGGGTAAATAAAATAAAAAATTAACTACAAAATAAACTAAAAAAAAATGAAATACTTGTGGGTAATGGCGTCTCTGTGTGACTCCTAACTATATACAGTATGCGTGAAGTATTCGACGAACTGCACGACAGACGGCTTCATAATCCATTCTTACAGATAGAAAATATAGTTGAGGTACTATAATGCCGTACATCTATCGGGAGTGGTGGGGGGGAACTCTTCAACAACATGCCATTGGGATTGAATAACACCACATGACACAATCTCTCCAGTGGTGCAGACAGACATGGGGTTCTGTCTAGTCTGTTCGTCCTCTGCACCGAGGTAACGACCACAAGCTGTCATCTGTGTCCATTATACTCGTTCTGGCTCATTCACCTTTGTCTTTGTGTTATAGATTACATGAACGTCAAAATTTGTATTGATAGTCTTGTATAATTTTACTATACTTGAGTTTGTGTTTCAGCGTGTGTAAGGTTGTTGAAACATCATTAATATCACTAAATAAAAGACGGCGTACATATATTGACGTGGGCACACAGCATTGATGGTACGGACGAGTGGATCGTCTACCATTTCACTTATTTCCGTCCATATCCCCGAGAAAGATTCACGCTGCTTAGCTATCATGAGGGCATATAACAGGTCCACCATCTATAAATCATTGCTGGTCTGTTTTCCTGACACTTATTAATTGTTTATTACACCACATACAAAGTTTATTCAGAGGTGTAATGTCACCATTTAATTAGGATTCACAGCAATATAATAAGGTGGACGTCAATCCTGCATCAAATATCTTTTTCTTGACAAAAAGGGGATATTATTGTTCTTGTTTACAAATACGACAAACATATGTGTATGACGCATCTTGGTTTGTACGTGAACTTTAATTGTTGTTGATAATGACCCGTCAGAAGTAAACGGGCTGCCCAAATACATGTTCTGGTCACACTGTTATGCCATCAACAACTAATACACAATGGGTCAAAAGCACCCCTCAAATACCCCAGATTAAACTCATTTCACGATCACAGGAAGGAAAGGAGAATGAAGACCCGGTGCCGATCAGATCTCGACCAAACTTGTTGCAGAGTAACAAGAAGATGCTGCCGTTCGTTATCAAGTGGGGCGGGGGAGGAAACACCGTGTCCATCGCCGGGACGTTCAACGAGTGGCAGCCAATCCAGATGGTGAAGAGGTACGATAATGGTCGATTTTTGTGGGTGTTTTTTGTTTTGATTACGTGACGATTTGGAGTTGTAGCCCGTTTGGTCGTTAAGCTTAATCATCCCGTAATCTAACCTGTCCTAATCTATCCTAACCTGATACAGTATAACCTAACATAATATAACCACCAATCAATATTCTATAATTCCCGCAAAAAAAAATTACTAAAGGCGGGTTGTTTACATGAATCATATCCCATCGTTTCAGTGAGAAAGACTTCGTGGCAATCGTCGACCTCCCAGAAGGCCAACACGAGTACAAATTCCTGGTCGACGGGGAGTGGAAAATGAACCAGAACGAGAAATCCTGCACTAACGAAGTGGGGACCCAAAACAACACCATTACCATTAACGAGAGCGACTTCGACGAGTTTGAGAACGCGCTGCTCCGTGACCCCAACGACAAGAAGGAACGGCCCTTTGGTAATCAGTCCGGCAACAAGGAGAAGACAGAAGGTGGGGTTAGGTTAAGACGAAGGGTGGGGTTAGGTTAAGACGAAGGGTGGGGTTAGGTTAAGACGAAGGGTGGACGAAGGGTTTAAGACGTTAAGACGAGGTTAAGACGAAGGTTAAGACGAAGGGTAAGGGGTTAAGGTTTAAGACTAGGGTGTTAGTTAAGACGAAGACTAAGGTGGGGTTAGGGTTAAGACCTAAGGTAAGAGGTTAAGACGAAGGCTGGGGTTAGGTTAAGACGAAGGGTGGGGTTAGGTTAAGACGAAGGGTGGGGTTAGGTTAAGACGAAGGGTGGGGTTAGGTTAAGACGAAGGGTGGGGTTAGGTTATTTTGGGGGAGAGATTGAGAGAGAAAAAGAGAGAGAGAGAGAGAGACATACAGAGAGACTGAATTTGAGAGATTAAATACCCTAATGCTGACCTAACCCTACACACTTCACCACCACATATCGTCTTTCTCCCGCAGAAGATAAACGGGAGGAGTTTAGTCAAGAGATTCCCGAGTACCAACAGTCCGAGAAGATTCGTGGACCCCCGGTGTTGCCCCCACATCTCCTGCAAGTCATTCTAAACAAGGACACGCCCATTTCCGTAAGTCGGGTATTTATTTGTCGTTTTTCATTAGCCCCGTAAGTGGTAATTTTTATTTTTTTTTATTTCTCTTATGCGATAATTTCTACCATATGGCACGGATAGTTGACACCGGGTCACGGCAGAGAACGTAAACAAACGAGGAAATTGGCCGTAGAACGATGATAGTGACGATGATAATGAGTTTTGCCACAATCATCATTTACTCACTATTGTTTATTTAATCTTCCGACGTGTTTGTAGAACCTATTTTACTCAATTCTGTAGATCATTAACTAACTAAATCATCTGTTGTACAATAAGATAAAACATTTAAGAGTTAATTATATAGTGATTGAGACTTACACTTGGTTTTGTAATTAAATAAAATGGTTCTTAGAGGTTTAATGCATGTTTATTACTAGAATTTATTAGCCTTTAAAATTAATTATAAAGTATTGTAGAATTGAAAGGTGTTCTATGACTATCTGTTCCATTAATTAGTTGTATTAATTAATTTATTGTCACACTCTTCTGTCTGCTGTAGTTTGGTTCACCTGAAGATTAGCCTCTCTCTCTCATACAAAGCAGAACAACCCCCCCCCCGGCCCCAAACCACACTCACCCCGCCCGCCCCCATGCCTCTACCCTAAACGGTGCATTTAAACAAATCAAGCTTCTCTCGGCAGTGCGAACCGACGCTTCTCCCCGAGCCGAATCACGTCATGCTCAACCACATGTACGCGCTCAGCATCAGAGACGGCATGATGGTCCTGTCGACATCTCACCGCTACCGTAAGAAGTGCGTCACGACTCTCATCTACCGTCCCATTGAGTAGCTCTCACGGCGTCGACTCTACGGCCGGGCGCAATCTGACAGTCTACATGCCATTGGTGCCTCTACATCTGGGCGATATATGAGAGTCTAAGTAACACTCCAGGCCAATATGAGTCTTGGAACATCTGGAGATTAGACACCCCAGTTTATTTCACCTGATGATTGACCACCATAATGCTGACCTAACTTAACCATGCCTAATGCTAATCTAACCTGACTTAATGTAACCTAACCTAATTTAATATGACCTAAACTAACCTGATGTTACCTCATCTAATCTAACCTGAGCTGACCTAACCTAATCTAATATGACCTAAACTAACCTGACATTACCTGATCTAATCTAACATGACCTAACCTAATCCAATCTAACCTGTTGCAAACCTAACTTAACCTAATCTGACCCAACATGACCTAATCTAACCTCACCTAACCTAATCTAACCCAAAATATTTAATCATCAGGTGAAATAAACTGCGATCGACTAGCCAATCACCCCCCTACCCCCTGACAGCTAACCGCGACCTGTGCTATTTGGATCCAGCCAACCGATCGAACATTAATCAGTGCGTGGAAAAACAGACTCCTCCCCCCCCCCCTCATTTATAGATTGACTCGAGTCCATAAGTGGTAATTCGGATCCATTTAAGTGTGTACAGTGACTTATGATCATTTATTAACCACTATTAATGTCCAGGGAATTTATTAATGCTCTGTGATCACAAGTAAATATTGCCTTGTATATATCTTTTAGAATTAAGGTCAGGAAGAATTAATTTGCTGTGATTTTTGGGTTTTTTTTCGAATTTATGCTTATTAAGAATTTCAATGGAATGTTTAATAATGGCATTTATAGATTGGAATTTTTTTGCACAATTGAGGTGGAATTTTTGCTTATTAAAATGTTCAGTGGAATTTTAATGGCATTTATAGATTGGAGTTATTGTATATTGGAATCTTTGGCACCGTTGATCTGTCAGAATTTGTGTACGGTGAATTTCTGTTCCATATACCTGTTGGAATTTATGTACATTTGAGTTTATTGTTTTAAATATTTACTAACTAGAATACACTTGAACTTTTAATACCATCTGATGAGAATTAATAGATTATAAAATTTGAACTTGTAGTGATGTGAGCTATTGAGAATCATTTGTTGTTTGTTAGGAAGGAACTGATTTATTAAGGTCAGGAGAGGTAGGGTGGTGTGTGTGTGTCTCAAATGTGTCCAGGGTTTAATCCCTGGACAGGTTTGAGAAGGGTGAGATCTAGTGTTGTACTACCAAACATGTCGGGTTTTCTTCACTACTACAGTTTCCTACCGTACTAACACCGGATATTAGAGGTCATAACGAACTAACTAACAACACCCCCCCAACCGCCGAACGACTAACGACTGACGAGCGGCGTACTGGTTCATTTTCACAGCGAACGATACTGCAACATTATGTCACATTTATCATTAATTCCGTCACCCTGGTATTATTAACTAACATAAATGATGTATATTTTGTACTTATAGAATTAAATAAACGTACAGTACAGATGTATGAAGTGTGATCCAAGAGTTCCCGGTCTGGCTTCATATTACAGAGAAACTTTAGTCATCCTTCAAATACTCACTAGAGTCCTCAATGCAGTCCTAGATCACCACTCCATCCATGATCTTCCCCTTGAGGTATAACTATATCTTGGAGAACAGCCAGAACTCACAGGGGCCTGATCTGGAGGGGGATGGGGGGGGGGGCCTCTGGTATGTTGTGTTTCACCAGACAATTATTCAGAGGAGAGAGTGCGTGCAGGTGGATTGTCAGTCGTAATCCAGTTAACATTTCCATACTAGAGGTCCGACCGCTTGGCAGTCTCATGGACAGACCTGACATTTTTCTGGACATTTACATAATTTCTCTGAGTGGTAGGCCGTGTGGAGCCAGTCCGAGTGGTATGCCGTGTGGAGCCAGTCCGGGACCTTTTGAATCACACCTATACGGGAATTTGTTTATATACATCGATAGACCCCGAGATATTTAAACAGATGTGTAATTGACCTGTTCATATACATTGACTAAACCATATAAACATAGATAATTCTGTTTATATACATTAATAAACATAACACAGATGTATATAGAGGCTACACTAGCTCGGGAAGTGGAGTAAATATTTGTATTATGTCGTGTTTATATTAGTTTCGAGACGTAACTTAAAGGGATTAATTCCGGTTTATTCGGGCGACTAAAAGTGAATCGTGTTGTAAAGTTGTAAATATATTGATTTATTACTACAGTTGATATTATCTAAGGTGTTTTGTAATTAGACACCCTAGTTTATTTCACTTGATGATTTGACACCCTAGTTTATTTCACCTGATGATTTGACAGCTACAGGGGCCTGTACCTCTGACTGTAACTAGACTACTGTACTGTATAATAATGAATTAACAGCTATTAAATATTACTTAAAGTTCCTGTATCTCATTTCTACAGTCACCTTTATAGTTAGTCGATGTAACCTGTTTATAATGGTCATCTCTCGTGGTATAGTTCATTAGATGGGGGTTTGGCTTTTAACGGAACCTCGATATAATGGAATTTCATCTCTATATAGTTCATTAGATGGAGGTTTAACATCTAACTGACCCTTGATGTAATGGACTTTCATCTCTATATAGTTCATTAGATGGAGGAATGTGGGAAATGTTTCACCTGGAAGAGAGATCTCAAGACACACATTCTTGGACACAGTGGTATAAAGGAGTTTGAATGTGAGGAATGTGGAAAATGTTTCACCTGGAGGAGTAATCTCAAACGTCATAAACTTCTGCATGAAAAAAACAGAATTCAATAAATGTTTGAATGACTTTAACAGAAGGTAAATGTGCCACATAAACTTGAATACAGTGATATACATCAATATAAAACCACTTGAACAAACTCCATGAATGTAGCTGAAATAAAGACAAGTGACAAATGCCACTTTTATAGTTATTAAACACAAGTTATAATTATCTGCCTTTAAGATGTAAATTTCTTCTACCATGGCCTTAGTGTAGACATTTGGTGTTGGTTAAATATCACTCATAATAATTCTCCATTTTGTTTCATCAGCCTTTTTAATAATGTTATTTACAGTACAGTAGTAAGCAAAGGTTAAACTTATCATCTTTGTGCTTAAAATTTCATCTTCACTATATAAGCTTTGTTGAACATTGATGAACTCTCATTTACTATAATTTGTGCATCAGTAGTTGTGTCAACTGTGTACGTCTGTCTTTATTTACACTTGACGTAAGTTTTGTCACAAGTACGTACATTAACACGGGTAGTAAATCATCTTGGTAAAGTAGTACAGTGGTGGTAGACCATTTGTTATAGTCAAGGTGTTGTCATTATCTCACGGAAACTCTTCAATCTCTGTTGAAATTGTACGTAAATATTTGATAAGTTTTGCTCAACTCTGACGAGATATTTTGATATTTTATCTTGAGTAAAATGGTTGGTAGTTTTGATTCATGTTTTAAATATATTCTTTCATCACTTACAGATATATGGTACCATTGTCTGGTAAATAATGGTTAGGGTTCATATATAGTACCTGGTGTTATGGGGCTGATGAACTTTAACACCTCTTAACTGTACTCTTCTCTTGGTTATATATATATATAAATTCATCCTTGGGCAGTCATTTTCTTATAGTAGCCAATGCTGAAATGTCAAACTCTGGGTTAAAATTAGTTGTTTGATCATGTCAAGCAGAAGACTTGTTTAAATTAACATACAGTATTTAGATATTTGCTGTTCTTATATACAACTTTTCCTAATAGTACTGGCATGTGTTTATCTAGCAATGGTATTTAAAAAATGATTGCTACAAAAATGTCATGAATTTTGTGGACTTGAATATAGAGTTTTATGTTAATACAGGCTGTCCCTAATTTACAACAGAGATAAGTTCCTCGACCCATAGTTTAGGTTAGGTTAAAGCCCATACAAAACAACAATAATATCCCATATATAACAAATAATGTAAATAAAGTGATGTTAAACATTATATAATGATGAAAAAAATGGGATTGTAATTAAAAATTTTTGCAGTGAATGTATTGAGATCCCATTCATAAGTGCGGGTGATGGTAAGTCGGACGGTCGTAACTCGGGGACTGCCTGTATACACTTTATGTTTGGCCATGATGTGCCACAAACATTAATATCTTACAGAATGAGATATAAGTATTTAAACTATTGCTGAATATTTTATTACAACCCCAATATTGTAGAACATGTGTACAGTAATGGCTGGTCTTCAGATACTGTATGTGGATGTCTTAAATTAATATTGCTGTAATTGCCCTAAAATTCATTATGAGTAAAGAATCATTAAAATAATAGGTTTTTGGATTTATGGAATTTAATGAGCAGAAGATTCCATGGCTGGTTTATAATTTGAGTTGAGAGCCAAATGTTAGATTGGTCTGGACGACGCCCGGGGAGGAGCCAAGGTAATATTTATGATAATTTACTGTTTTATGACCGTAATTATTGCTGGAAATGAGCCTAGATAGAATATTATTAAATAACATGATGGCAAGGGTTGAAGGTGACTGCCAATAACTCATAGAGACAAGTATTTTATATAAATTTGGGTCGCTAGTTTATTACATCGTGTATACAGTAAACTGGAGTCAGTATATATTATGAACTGTCAACATATCAATATTGACTCCATATTACAAGGATTCCATGACTAGGTTAGGTGTAATAAATTAATTCAATAATAATATTTGTACTATGAGTGAGATACAATGTGTCTGTACTGTATTCTCTTGACCCATTAATATATAGAGAGATAGATGGATTGATACTGTAGATAGATGGATAGATACTGTAGATAGATGGATAGATACTGTAGATAGATGGATAGATGCACTGTAGATAGATGGATAGATACTGTAGATAGATGGATTGATACTGTAGATAGATGGATAGATACTGTAGATAGATGGATAGATATAGATACAGTAGGTAGATGGATAGATATAGATACTTTAGATGGGTGGATGGATAGATAGATACTTAAAATAGATGGTTGTAGATACTGTAGATATATGGATAGATACTGTAGATAGATGGATAGATGTATACAGGCTGCCACATCCACCAAACATTGCCCGTTAAAGTACCTGTAAAAGAGAGAGAGTGAAGCAACATTGAGGTGAAGAGAAAAGGAAGGAAAATTACCAACTAAAGGAGGAGAGTTAAAATGCCTTTGATTCCACCCTATCTAACAGAGCCACCCCAGAAATGAGAGCAGTTTTATATCAAGATTTTGTTAAGCTTGACCGTAATATAAATAAAAGCTTAAATATGTATTAGTTATTATAGAAGATCAATCATACTGGGAAAAATATCTCCAGTGAGGAAAATAAACCATGTTATTAAAATACTATAAACAAATGCCTAAACCATATTGTACTTTTATTTATCTCACCTATGCGAAGTAATGGAAGCTAACTTATACAAACAATGATTAAGGATATTATTAGTGATTTATAATTTATTAGTTAGGTTTATTGTGTTAAGTCTGTATATAAAGAAATTATTGTTATTCGGTGTGCGGTATTTAACTCTAATGATTTTCTAAACAATAAGATATTATTAAACTTAACCTATTCTCCAATATAATAAAATTAGACTTTTTAAAATAGCTCATCTATAAAATAAATAATAGTTTTAATGGAGAAAAAAAAAATAGGCCATGGAAAGTGTTCGTGGTAATCTAGGCAACATATATTGACGTCACATCCAGCTAAGAGACGTTTTAGCGGATGTGAAAAGGCGACTTGTTTACCTGATAGTAATTGACTCCAACGACTACCATATTTAGAGGCGATTTTCGTGAGTTATGGGCTATTTAACCTCTAATTACTACATAGAATAGAAAGATAAGAGTATAAGTAGTTAGTATATATATGAGGAAATAGGTTTAATGAGGTTAAATAAGGTGATAAAGGTCGGGTAATGTTGACACTTCCCTTATGGCTGCCACTCCCATACGACGATTAAGTTATTATATTTTTTTCAATTTTTAACACAATTTAGGATGTTAATTGGTATTTTAACATGCTGAGGGGAATATTAGGATTGTTTAACTGTAAGGAGAAGGTAAGGGAAGGTTAATTAGTGAGTTAATTAGGGAATATTAAGGTTAGGTATTTTCCACCTTTGAGTTATAACAAATTCAGTAATTCGTTTATTTCCAGGTCACGATACTGAATAAAAACATAATTCCTTTATTTCCAGGTCACGATACTGAATAAAAACATAATTCATTTATTTCCAGGTCACGATACTGAATAAAAACATAATTCATTTATTTCCAAGTCACGATACTGAATAAAAACATAATTCATTTATTTCCAGGTCACGGCAGCACATCCTGGCCTGTCGTCAGGTTGTCATTGGTGAACAGGAGATTCCCGAAGGCCGTCAGTCTCTCTCCGATTCTCACGCTAATCTGGAGAAAGTTGCGGCTTATTGTATCGAGAACTTTGCCAGGGTGAGTTGATGTGGGTGTGTTATATGGGGGTTTAACAGCTAGCAGACCCTCGATATAGTGAACTTCCCTTTCCATATAGTGCTTTAAATCGGGGTTTCGCAGCTAACAGACCCTCGATATAGTGAACTTTCCTAACCATGCCTGAGTGAATTGGCAAATCAAAACCAAAATGGGCTCGTTACTATCTAAACTACATCACTGATTGGTCGATTTTATTAACCCCCCCAGGCGGAAAATAAGGCCGGAGCGTTGGAAGAGACGAAAAACTACACGACTCAATCCCTGGCCAGCGTAGCCTATCAGATCAACACACTGGCTTACAACTTCCTCCAGATGGTCGAACAACAAGCCAATCAGCTAGCAGAGATGGAGAGCCAAGTGAATTACATATCCCAGGTTAGTATGGGGTGTTGTGCTCTCTATAATGAGGTACTGGTATTATGAAGTATCGTGCTTTATAATGAGGTACTGGTATTATGAAGTATTGTGCTCTATAATGAGGTACTGGTATTATGAAGTATCATGCTCTCTATAATGAGGTACTGGTATTATGAAGTATCGTGCTTTATAATGAGGTACTGGTATTATGAAGTATTGTGCTCTATAATGAGGTACTGGTATTATGAAGTATCATGCTCTCTATAATGAGGTACTGGTATTATGAAGTATCGTGCTCTATAATGAGGTTCTGGTATTATGAGTTTGAGTTGACTGGTACTCTCCTGGGTGTTTTTGTGAGTGTTATGAGAGGGGGTGTGTGTCTTATTGAGGTTAGGTTATGGTTTGGTTATGTTAGATTATGTTTAGTTGGGTTGGGTTTGGTTAGGTTGGGTTTGGTTAGGTTGGGTTAGGTTGGGTTTGGTTGGGTTGGGTTTGGTTAGGTTAGGTTAGGTTGAGTACCTTTGTTTCATGGTAATTAACCCCAACAACAGATGGTGATGGTGCACAAGGAGAAAGTAGCGAGGAGAGAGATTGGCGTCCTAACGACCAACAAAACGACCGCTCGACAGTACAAGATCCTCGCTCCGGCCAACACAGAGAAGCCGATCAAATACGTCCGGAAACCGATCGACTTTACCAGTAAGTGATCGGACATCTTGATACCTTCTCTTAAAGTCTTGAATCGCAATGACACGAACGATGGTTATTTGTGTTAATGGTCGTTTCTTAGTTGACATCGTTAGGGTGATTACTCGTGGCTTGGAGTTGTCGTGTGTTTGTTTGTTTGTGTCATATCTGTTTTTTTATTTGGATTAATTATCTGTTTATATGCGTGTTTTTTTTTTACGTGTTTTAGTCTATATCAATACGTTCGACCCCCACACCAGGCAGTCATCTCTAGGGTGAGACGACGACCATTTTTTAACCACCCTCGATATAATACTTCACTACCACACGAACAATTCTAACGACCTTCGACCAATCCGCAGCTCTCGACGACGTAGGCCACGGCATAAGATCGTCCTCAAGCAGCACCCCAAGGTCGAGGAGGAGCACCAGTAGCGTAGGAATGCCTCCACCTCCGGCACACCAACAGCCGCCGACATCCGCAGGGCCGGCTCCCACGACCAAGCCTCCTACGCCCCCGCAGTCCAATAGATCGGTGAGCAGTCTGTCTCGGGGCTCCAGGGAGTACCGCACCCCCCCGGCTGTTGCTCCTCCACAGGTTTGTTTACATTATCGTCTCTCGTTTGTTACCCTATACCACTCTCAAACATTACCAAGAGTGAATGTTGAATTGTCTGTCAAATAGAACTCTTAATTATTTTGTGCTTTTATTTTTTTGGCCATTAAGTTGAAATGATGTTTGAAATCTTTGTATATGACATTGAAATTACTTAAAATATTCTCAAATTACTTAAAATATCCCAAAAATTACTCAAAATTACATAAAATTTCCTCAGACTACTCGAAATATCCTAAAATTACTTAAAATATCCAAAAATTACTTAAAATATCCTCAGATTACTCGAAATATCCCAAAATTACTCAAAATATCCTAAAATTACTCAAAATATCCTAAAATTACTTAAAATATCCTCAGATTACTCGAAATATCCCAAAATTACTCAAAATATCCTAAAATTACTCAAAATATCCTAAAATTACTCAAAATATCCTAAAATTACTTAAAATATCCAAAAAATACTTAAAATATCCTCAGATTACTCGAAATATCCCAAAATTACTCAAAATATCCTAAAATTACTCAAAATATCCTAAAATTACTCAAAATATCCTAAAATTAATTAAAATATCCTAAAATTACTCAAAATTCCTTAAAATATGAAAATTTTGCTCAAAATTTCTTAAAATTATTCAAAATATCCTAAAAGTACTCGAAATATCCTAAAATTACTCAAAATTCCTTAAAATATGAAAATTTGGCTCAAAATTTCTTAAAATATCCTAAAATTATTCAAAATATCCTAAAAGTACTCGAAATATCCTAAAATTACTCAAAATATCACAAAATTACTCCTAATATTCTAAGAAATACTTAAAATATCTTCAACTTACTCAAAATATCCTAAAAATTACTCAAAATATCCCAAAATTACTCAAAATATCCTAAAATTACTCAAAATCCTAAAATGACTTAAAATATAAAAAATCCTAAAATATCCTAAAAATTACTCAAAATATCCCAAAAAAATCCACTTAAAATCCAATATTCTCCACCAATCGCAGGCAGTCCCCGAGACACGCACGTCCGACATACGAACACCCACGATTACAAACGGGAAGCCAATATATTCGTCACGAAAACCCGTAATTAGAATTTTTTATTTTTTTACATTAATTTTTACAGTTTTTTTTACACCACATAATTTTATACACTTTTTTACATTATTTTTTTTACACTTACATACATATTGACGTACATACATAGTGACGTACATACATATTGATGTACACACAGATTGACATATTAATGTACACAGATTAACGTACACAGATTGACATAAATATGAATGTACACACAGATTGACGTACATACATATGAACGTACACACAGATTGACATACATACATATGAATGTACACACAGATAGATGCACATACATATAAATGTATACACAGATTGACATACATACATATGAATGTACACACAGCTTGACATACACAGATTGATGTACACACAGATTGACGTACATACATATGAACGTATACACAGATTGATGTACATACATATAAACGTACACACAGCTTGACATACACAGATTGACATACATACATATGAATGTACACACAGCTTGACATACACAGATTGATGTACACACAGATTGACATACACAGATTGATGTACACACAGATTGACGTACATACATATGAACGTACACAGCTTGACGTACACCACATAATTCACCTTTTGTTTACACTAGTTATTTATTGGGGCTGTTAATATGGTTTTATTTGGTTAGGATTATGTTTAACCCTGACCTGACCTGACCTGACCTGACCTAGGAAATTAACACTTGTCAGTAGATTGACTTACAGACATATTGACGTACACAGAGATTGACGTACATACAGATTGACGTACATACAGATTGATGCACATAAAGATTGACGCACATACAGATTGACGCACATACATACAAGGTCTAGGAATGAATTCACCATTACAAACTGAGGGACTGCCTGTACGCAATACTGTGTACGCAATACTGTGTACGTAATACTGTGTATGCAATACTGTGTACGCAATACTGTGTACGTAATACTGTGTATGCAATACTGTGTACGTAATACTGTGTACGTAATACTGTGTACGTAATACTGTGTACGTAATACTGTGTATGCAATACTGTATATGTAATACTGTGTACGCAATACTGTGTATGCAATACTATGTACGTAATACTGTGTATGCAATACTGTGTATGCAATACTATGTACGTAATACTGTGTACGTAATACTGTGTACGTAATACTGTGTACGTAATACTGTGTATGCAATACTGTGTATGCAATACTGTGAATGCAATACTGTGTACGCAATACTGTGTTTGCAATACTGTGTACGTAATACTGTGTACGCAATACTGTGTATGCAGTACTGTGTACGTAATACTGTGTACGTAATACTGTGTATGTAGTACTGTGTATGTAGTACTGTGTATGCAATACTGTGTACGCAATACTGTGAATGCAATACTGTGTACGCAATACTGTGTGTGCAATACTGTGTACGTAATACTGTGTACGTAATACTGTGTATGTAATACTGTGTATGTAGTACTGTGTATGCAATACTGTGTACGTAATTCTATCATGAGGAGAAGTGGTACAAAATAATTCTAATTTCTTACTAAATATATATTTTTTTCATTAAGTCTTGTATTTTAGATTTTTTATAAAGAAATACATTCTTTAGTGGAACCTCTTTATGATGAACTGTGGGGAGAGGAAAGTCCATTATATCGAGGGTTTGTTAGACGTGAAACCTCTTTATAATGGACTATGAGGAGTGGAAAGTTCTTTATATTTAGGGTTTGTTAGATGTGGAACCTCTTTTTAGTGGACAATACAGTGAAGAAAGTCCATTATAACGAACTATTAATATAAAAACCACTATATCGAGGTTCCGTTCAAATTAACCCCCCCCCCCCACACACACCAATCATCTCCAGGTACCCAGTAACTACGCACCGAACTACCCCATTGGACACCCACGCCGCAACGATCGTTCCAGCGGGTACAGCACCCTGCCTCACCAATCAGCGGCTCACGTCACCCCAATCAACGGAGGAAGCCCCGCCCCGCCTCCCCAAGTGGGCATGGTGCACCCTATGTCCCACGGGGTGCCCCAGGGATCCTACACCCCCCCGCCCCCGCCCCCGCACATGCAGGAGCCGCCCCAGTACGCCTCGCACCCAATGGGGATGCCCCGTAAGTTGACTTCTTGTTTTTGGTCGGGTTATGTTAGGTTTTGGTCCTGGGATGTGATAAGTGTGAATTTCTGGTGGTTATTTTACTTATAAAACCAAAAGTAAGTTATTCTAGTGATTATTTTACTTATAAGACCAAAAGTAAGGTATTCTAGTGATATTTTTACTTATAAGACCAAAAGTAAGTTATTCTAGTGATTATTTTACTTATAAGACCAAAAGTAAGTTATTCTAGTGATAATATTTACTTACAATCCAAAAAGTGGGATGCTGTAGTGATGTTACTTATACTTACAATACTAAACTGAGGTCCTATAGTGGCACTACTTATTTACTTACAATACTTACAAACTTTTAATACTGTATACTAGTTATTAACACACACACACACACACACACTTACAATACAAGTGTGGTAGAATTATTACTTAAAACTTATACTTAACACTGATCTAGATAAGTGTATTAAATATATATCTCAAATGTTAAATTAAATGTTGAATTAATATGTTAATCTGTTTAGGGGTTTATGGAACAGCTTTACCAGCTTACTATGCTTGGTAGGGGTGTATGTAAGCTTACATTTTTGACAGTACTGTATTGCATCTTGTCATGGGTGTGTCAAAGCTTAATTCTTTTTCAGTATTTTACCACATATTTGGGGGGATTTTATCGAGTTACCGCATATTTTAAGGTAATTTTATCGAGTTACCGCATATTTTAAGGTAATTTTATTGGGTTACCACATATTTTAAGGTAATTTTATTGAGTTACCACATATTTTAGGTAATTTTTTGAGTTACCACATATTTGGGTTAATTTTATCGAGTTACCACATATTTTAAGGTAATTATATTAAGTTACCACATATTTGGGTTAATTTTATTGAGTTACCACATATTTTAAGGTAATTATATTGAGTTACCACATATTTTAAGGTAATTATATTGAGTTTCCACATATTTTAAGGTAATTATATTGAGTTACCGCATATTTTAAGGTAATTTTATCGAGTTACCACATATTTTAGGTAATTTTTTGAGTTACCACATACAGTATTTGGGTTAATTTTATCGAGTTACCACATATTTTAAGGTAATTATATTAAGTTACCACATATTTGGGTTAATTTTATTGAGTTACCACATATTTTAAGGTAATTATATTGAGTTACCACATATTTTAAGGTAATTATATTGAGTTTCCACATATTTTAAGGTAATTATATTGAGTTACCGCATATTTTAAGGTAATTTTATCGAGTTACCACATATTTTAAGGTAATTTTATTGGGTTACCACATATTTTAAGGTCATTTTATTGAGTTACCACATATTTTAGGTAATTTTTTGAGTTACCACATATTTGGGTTAATTTTATCGAGTTACCACATATTTTAAGGTAATTATATTAAGTTACCACATATTTGGGTTAATTTTATTGAGTTACCACATATTTTAAGGTAATTATATTGAGTTACCACATATTTTAAGGTAATTATATTGAGTTACCACATATTTTAAGGTAATTTTATTGAGTTACCACATATTTTAAGGTCATTTTATTGAGTTACCACATATTTTAGGTAATTTTTTGAGTTACCACATATTTGGGTTAATTTTATCGAGTTACCACATATTTTAAGGTAATTATATTAAGTTACCACATATTTGGGTTAATTTTATTGAGTTACCACATATTTTAAGGTAATTATATTGAGTTACCACATATTTTAAGGTAATTATATTGAGTTTCCACATATTTTAAGGTAATTTTATTGAGTTACCACATATTTTAAGGTAATTTTATTGAGTTACCACATATTTAAGGTAATTTTATCGAGTTACCACATATTTTAGGGTATTTTTATTGAGTTACCACATATTTTAAGGTAATTTTATTGAGTTACCACATATTTTAAGGTCATTTTAGTGATTTTTCTTATATTTGGGGAAACTTAGTCAACTTACATACAGTAGAGTCGCCAATAAACATTGACCCCATAGCTCACGGAATCGACCATTTAAGCTGAAAAATAACTCAATAAAATTACCTTAAATATGTGGTAACTCAATAAAATTACCTTAAAATATGTGGTAACTCGATAAAATTACCTTAAAATATGTGGTAACTCAATAAAATTACCTTAAATATGTGGTAACTCAATAAAATTACTTTAAAATATGTGGTAACTCAATAAAATTACCTTAAATATTTGGTAACTCAATTCCATCTTGCCGACCACAGACCCCCCCCCCCCATAACTGACCGAATCGACGCCCAAACTCCATCTTGCGGACTTTATGGGATGACGATAGCCATTAGATCGAGGTCTTGGTATGTTAGGTTAGGCTAGGATGGGTTAGGTTAGGCTAGGATGGGTTAGGTTAGGCTAGGATGGGTTTAGTTTAGGTTTGGATGAGTTAGGTTAGGGATGGGTTAGGGTTAGGCTAGATGGGTTAGGCTAGGATGGGTTAGGCTAGGATGGGTTAGGTTAGGCTAGGATGGGTTAGGTTAGGCTAGGATGGGTTTAGTTTAGGTTTGGATGAGTTAGGTTAGGTTATTCCAGGAATATCTCGACGAATTTTGCACCGCTGTTTAAATGAAAGTCCGGGACCCCACTGTAGGGACTAGGTACGACCACCGTGTGACGAGGAACGCAGCTTAAGGTCGATATATACGGTGGTCTCGTTATCTCCTACTGTGGGGTCTAGAGTCGGTGAGAATGATCGGGAATGTTGATTGATATTGATATTTACTGTATACTTGTTTCTTCTCTCTCTCTCTCTCTCTCTCTCTCTCTCTCTCTCTCTATCTATCTATCTTTATTTGTCTCTCTCTCTCTCTCTCTCTAGGTTATGCTAATCTTCCATATATTCAACCCAACTGTGTCTGTAAGTAAGGCAACGTGGAGTGTGTTTGACCTGACCTAACCTGACCTGACCCCACACTAACCTCCCCAAAGCCCTATACCACAACGTGTGATTTGTTTTCAATAACATTGTGGATTTGTTGATTTCTAACACAGGTGGCTCATTGAGTAGCGTCGTAGATCTCATCCGGCGTTCCTCAATACCCTAGGCTAGAATTACCAGGCTGGGGGGGGGAGCACAACCCCCCCCCCTTCCCCATCCACACCCCCAACCACCCACCCCCTAATTGGTTAATCACTCGCGGAAAAAAAAAATTAAGCGGTATCGTTTCCTCTCGAATTGGGCCGTTAACTTCGCTGGGTTACTGTGAGGTGTGTTGTTGACGTTCCAGCTTTGGGTAGTGTCTGGTGGTGTTGTTATGGTCATTAGGGTACACAGCGAGCAGTGACGGACGACAGAATGTTTGAGGGATTATGGCATATGTGCTCTCTCTCTCTCTCTCTCTCTCTCTCTCTCAATCTATCTGTCTCGCTTTCTCTCCCAGCTTAATTATCCAGCTTAATATTAAATCATTAAGCTGGCAGTCATTTCAACACCAATATCCCCCCAAAAAACATTTATATAAGCTTAGGTTAAAGGTATAATATTAAGCTTAGGTTAAGGCTGTGTTATTAAGCTTAGATAAATGTGGTTAAGGCTAGGAAAAGTATTTTTATAAGCTTATTTAACATAGATTAAGGCTTTATTTAACCCTATTAACTCATTAAATATACTATAACATTTATTTGTATATATCTAAGTTAACATTAACCCAAGAATTAACATGTGAGATAATAATTAACCATTGATCTCAGAGTTAGGTTAATGTTATTGATCTGTTGGCTATTGTCCTCTGCGGTCGTCTGGCATTGTTGCGTTGCCTTCGTGGGGTCTGATTGGTCGGTGTGTGTGTGTGAGAAGAGCAAAGAAAAATTTATATGCATCATCAGACATCATGACTCGACTACCCACCACCGACCAATCAGATACCACGAATCATAACCAATGACGTCAGCAGAGGGCGGAGCTTATGTCGGAGTTGGGGGGGCGGGGTGGCATCGGGGCATCTGAACTCATTATTCTATTTAACCACCCCGTTCGACCTACCCAGGCTATCCGACGCTCATCCGACCTGCCATGACATTGCCCAAAAATCTAACTAACAAGAATCTAACAAGCAAGACCAACGAAGTGATCTTAGGTGATTAACTCATGGTTGTAGTTTGTGCGATGCTCGTTAGGGCTCGGCCGATACCTGCCTGAAAATTGCATGAGTGGCTGGGTTATTTTAGTGTATTTTTTTAATGTTTTTTTGATGTAGTGGTAATGATTTTCTGTTGTTTAGCACGTGTAGTGTAGTTTGTTTATCCCGACCAATCACAAGATGGGTCGATACAACCCCCAAACGATGTCGTCGCCTCCAACGAGTAACCTCCCCACACATAGTTTGAGGTCGTGTTTCGTCAACGTCTTTTCGCTTCGGCCAATAACGAGCGTAATCTCGCGACGTTTATGATTTAATACGTGAAGTAACGTTTGCGTACGGTAATTACGTCAGGCTGTCGTTATGTGTGTGAAAGTTTATTAGGGTATCGGTGTAGTGATGATTTATATACTTTTAATAATTTCTATACTGAGGTAATTTATGTATAGTTCACATGTATAGTTTTATTCATAGATGTGTAAGGAATTTATATATATACAGCTACTCCTTTACTTACGACCACTCGGACAAACAACCGCCTCAGTCGTATCAAAATATTGTCAAATTACGTATTTTCGAGTCCCAACGTCAGTGATCACGCTGTGTACTGACAAAATATTCGTTTGTAATTCACTTTAAAATGGCTGGCAAGCTTAAAAGTGAGAGTTTAGTGGTGCTGAGAAGAAAAAGAGACAACCATTTTAGATTTTCTATGTATTATTTAAGCATTTTTGACTTAGGACCTGGATTTGGGTCCCTAACCCCTTCGTAAGTCGGGGAGGAGCTGTATATATTTTTTTTATTCTCTATCTGCATGTTTCGTTACGTTCGTGCATCGATACGCAAATCTTCCTTCCTTTTCTCGTGTCTCTGTATATATACGCATGATGTATTCACCACGTATTTTAGATTAGGGTCACGTCCACGTATGGGGGGTATCCGTCCGTCGAGTTACGAAAGATCGACTCACGGATCGGTCTTTCGTGCCTCGACGGATCCGTGTGGTATATTTAACGCTTTATTTATTTATTTTTTTAATTCCTATAATTCGTGATGATTTCCGAGAGAGATTGACGTTAGCTTAAGGTCGGAGGAATGCGTGAGTGTTTGTTTGTCCGTGTAGTCGATGGTTTTGAATGTGCGGTAATTGGAGTGCTTGGAGCTGTTGTGAGTCGCTCGTGAGTTTCGAGTTGTCGTCATTATTGTTATTATTATTATTATTATTATTATTATTATTATTATTATTGTCATTGTTGTTATTATTATTATTGTCATTATTATTATTATTATTGTTGTTATTGTCATTATTATTATTATTATTATTATTGTTATTATTATTATTATTATTATTATTATTATTATTATTATTGTCATTGTTGTTATTATTATTATTGTCATTATTATTATTATTATTGTTGTTATTGTCATTATTATTATTATTATTGTTGTCATTATTATCATCATCACCATCATCCCCCACACCTGCGTAAATTACCCGCCGTCATTACCCAAGGACGTGACAAGTGCCGACCCCAATACCATAAGGTAAACACAACTCATTAAGTCACGCTTGAAAAATAACAAAAACCCAAAAGACCGTAAATATCAACAAATCGAGGAGAACGTAACTCCATTCCTCACGTTTACTCCGGATATTTGGTGCGGATTTTAGTTCAGTCTGTTTACTTCCCCTTGTTGTTGTTTAGATATTGTAGTAGTTATACATAGTTATACATTAGATGAATAACCATGTATTATTTATTTTCTCCCCGAGGGTGTAGTTTTTTTCCCTGTATGTTTAAGATGTATTGGATGTATAAGTCACGTTTGTTTTGTTTTTTTTGGCACTGACGTCACCTTTATGTTTTTGGTCTGTGTTTGGTTCTGCGTTTTGGCACTCTAGCCTTAGGACTGCTAGCTTTAACCCCATTATAGTGAATCCTCTCTAGATTTAACCCCATTATAGTGGATTCTCTCTAGCCTTAGGACTGCTAGATTTAACCCCATTATGGTGAATCCTCTCTAGACTTGACCCTATTATAGTGAAGCCTCTCTAGCCTTGGGACTGCTAGATTTAACCCCATTATAGTGGATCCTCTCTAGTCTTGATCCCATTATAGTGAATCCTCTCGAGCCTTGACTCCATTATAGTGAATCCTCTCTAGCCTTGGGACTGCTAGATTTAACCCCATTATAGTGGATCCTCTCTAGTCTTGATCCCATTATAGTGAATCCTCTCTAGCCTTGACCCCATTATAGTGAGACGACCAGAAGCATAACAAATCGTCCGATATATTGGCTGGTGGCGAACAAATGGTTATGATTCTGACCGCCTCATTTGACACGTCAATTATCCATATATCAACGGATGTCTCGGTTATCCGGGTAATAGAGAAACGTCAAGTTATCCATATCAACGGATGTCTCTGTTATCCGGTTAATAGAGAAGCGTCGATTATCCGCACATTCAGTCATTTCAAGAACCCTTTATCCGGGTCTGTGTTCAACCTTGGCGGATAACTGATCATGTTCATTATATAGCGGATCTCTTGGATAATTTATAACCTAACTAACTAAACTCTCCTCCCCCCACCCCACTAGCGCCTCCATCTCCCGCCTCCTCTGGGGTCGTCAGCGAACAGGAGTACAACAGCAGGTCGTCGGGCGCCTCCTCACCCCCTCTGCCACCTCCGCCCACGAGCGACTCTGAGATGCCCCCAGCCGTTCCCCCGCACTTCATGGAGAAAGGTTAGTCCGCAGCTTTCCGTCTCACCTATGGGGTCGGGGAATGATTTTATTTTTTTATTTTTTTTATTATTGGTGTATTTATTTTGTTGTGTCTTTTGTTTAAGTGATTTTTTGTTGCTTATTGATTATTTTTTGCTTCATTTTAATAATTTTTTTGCTTTATTGATTATTTTTTGCTTCATTTTAATAATTTTTTTGCTTTATTGATTATTTTTTGCTTCATTTTAATAATTTTTTGTTTTATTAATTATTTTTTGATTCATTTCAAAATTTTTTTTGCTTTATGATTACTTTTGGCTTCAATTCTTTAATTATTTCCTTCATTTCAATAATTATTTCCCTCATATAATTTCTTCCTTTTTTATAAATAATTTTGGCTTTAATAATAATAATTTCTTCACTGTCTTATTAATATAATTTTGGTCAATTAATTTCCTTCGCCTTTATGATAATTATAGTAAGGACAATTATACTGTACAGGGTGTCCCAAAAACATCTACCTATATATATATATATACAGTACTTGTAAGTTAGGTTTGGTTTGGTTAGGTTAGGTTTCATCTTTTTTCCCGTCATATCACTGTGTCTCAGTCATTTCGATGCGTTATATCCAAAAATTTAATCCAAGAATGTAATCCCTGTGTTAATCCAAGAATGTAATCCCTGTGTTAATCCAAGAATGTAATCCCTGTGTTAATCCAAGAATGTAATCCCTGTGTTAATCCAAGAATGTAATCCCTGTGTTAATCCAAGAATGTAATCCCTGTGTTAATCCAAGAATGTAATCCCTGTGTTAATCCAAGAATGTAATCCATGCATTTAATCCAATAATGTAATCCATGCATTTAATCCAAGAATGTAATCCCCCAATATAAATCCCCATGCCACCGTATCTATTTCAGTAGCCATATTCTGTAGTGCGTTAAATCTAGCCTTCACTACAGTACCCTCATCTGTATCTTGCATTCTACAGTTGGATTTCAGTAATTCTGTATTTGTATATGTAGGAGATTCTTTTGGGTCACACTGTAAGTATTATATCGATTTTTTGGGACACTCTGTATGTATGCTGTAGTGGTTTAAGGTGTTAGCTCTGTAGATTGAACCTGTGTTTAATTATCGAGATGCAGTTAACATACTCAAGGGATTAAATTATACTCGAAGGGTTAAATCATCATACTCAAGGGGTTAAATCATCATACTCAAGGGGTTAAATCATCATACTCAAGGGGTAAAATCATCATACTCAAGGGTTTAAATCATAATACTCAAGGGATTATCTCATAATACTCAAGGGGTTAAATCGATGGGTTAAACCAGGTTAAATCTCTTAAGCTGATCAATAATAACTTAATCCAGTTAAATCTTGCGAAAACTTGTCGTAAAATTTATCACAGGATTTAAATAACGTCTAAAGTGAAGTCTCAGTATTTTGTGGTATGAAATAGGCTGTATACCTTCCCATACCCCCCCCCCCCAAACTCACTATCCAGTTAACGATCGTCTATTAATAACTATGCTACAGTCGTTATATACATTGAACTCGGGTACAAAATTGGTACAGAGTTAAAATACAAAGAGGATCACAATATTACATCTCTGTAATTACTGTACCGTAACATAGCAGTTTGTGATCGACTTTGTATTTCAGCGGCATTATTTTATTTATTTTTTTACAATTTTTTATTCTTCAATTTTTCTCATATTTACCTACGATTAAAGATATATTTATATTGTGGTTTTAACCCTAAATTAACGGCTAAATATCTCTGGTCACCCCCCCATTCAACGCAAAAATACTGAGACTACAAATCCCATTTAACGCTTGAACTTACCATCGCTTAAATTCACCACCACTCCGCTAGTATTAAACCCCATACCTCAAAATCCCCCGCCCCCGAAAAAACAAACAAACTAACAGTACAATGGAAGCGGCGAAACGTCCCCCCCCCCCATCCGTACGGGGAGAGGTTTCACTCCGCCCCCATAGTACACTACTAACGCTTGACGGTTGAGTGAGAGATAACGAACACCCCAATCAGGTGGTTACTTTCTAGTGGACGATACTCCCGCCCCGCACCGCACCCCAGGGACCAATGCCAATGCTCCGGCCGTACCACCGCATTACCTCGAGAAAGGTAAGGACGATTGTTGTTCTCGTACTAGCATTTGACGTGTATTAGTGTGTGATTGTGTGCATTAGTACGGCTGTATTCACTGTTTGCTAGTACTGTGTTCTGAGCCTATTATTTACTAGCATTTGACGTGTATTAGTGTGTGATTGTGTGCATTAGTACGGCTGTATTCACTGTTTGCTAGTGTGTTTGAGCCATTATTTACTACCATTTGACGTGTATTAGTGTGTGATTGTGTGCATTAGTACGGCTGTATTCACTGTTTGCTAGTACTGTGTTCTGAGCCTATTATTTACTAGCATTTGACGTGTATTAGTGTGTGATTGTGTGCATTAGTACGGCTGTATTCACTGTTTGCTAGTACTGTGTTCTGAGCCTATTATTTACTAGCATTTGACGTGTATTAGTGTGTGATTGTGTGCATTAGTACGGCTGTATCTCACTGTTTGCTAGTACTGTGTTCTGAGCCTATTATTTACTAGCATTTGACGTGTATTAGTGTGTGATTGTGTGCATTAGTACGGTTGTATTCACTGTTTGCTAGTACTGTGTTCTGGAGCCTATTATTTACTACCATTTGACGTATTAGTGTGATTGTGTGTGCATTAGCACGGCTGTATTCACTGTTTGCTAGTACTGTGTTCTGAGCCTATTATTTACCAGCATTTGATACTATTAGTGTGTGATTGTGCATTAGCACGGCTGTATTCACTGTTTGCTAGTACTGTGTTCTGAGCCTATTATTTACTACCATTTGATGGCTAGTGTGTGATTGTGTGCATTAGCACGCTGTATTCACTGTTTGCTAGTACTGTGTTCTGAGCCTATTATTTACTACCATTTGACGTGTATTAGTGTGTGATTGTGTGCATTAGTACGGCTGTATTCACTGTTTGCTAGTACTGTGTTCTGAGCCTATTATTTACTAGCATTTGATGTCTATTAGTGTGCTATTTTTCTTACTATCATTTAATTCTCTTTTGTGTTTCTTTTGCACTAACTTTTACCAATGCAATACAATTTTAACTACAGTAATACAATTTTAACTACAGTAATACAATTTTAACTACAGCAATACAGTTTTAACTACAGTAATACAGTTTTAACTACAGCAATACAATTTTAACTACAGCAATACAGTTTTAACTACAGTAATACAGTTTTAACTACAGCAATACAATTTTAACTACAGCAATACAATTTTAACTACAGTAATACAATTTTAACTACAGTAATACAATTTTAACTACAGTAATACAATTTTAACTACAGCAATACAATTTTAACTACAGCAATACAATTTTAACTACAGCAATACAATTTTAACTACAGTAATACAATTTTAACTACAGCAATACAATTTTAACTACAGCAATACAATTTTAACTACAGCAATACAATTTTAACTACAGTAATACAATTTTAACTACAGTAATACAATTTTAACTACAGTAATACAATTTTAACTACAGTAATACAATTTTAACTACAGTAATACAGTTTTAACTACAGCAATACAATTTTAACTACAGCAATACAGTTTTAACTACAGTAATACAGTTTTAACTACAGCAATACAATTTTAACTACTGTGACACAATTTTCACATCATTATTGTCAGTTGCAGTTAACAGTCTAGTGTGATTTAACTGGTTATTGATCTGGAATGGTTATATAAAGTGACATTTACCAGTTAAGAGTGGTTAGGTCTGAATAATGACTGGGTTTTCTTTTAAACCAGTTATATACAGTCAGAGTTAACAGTTAGAGTGGTTGACTGTTGTGCTAGTCAATGCTATATACAGTGTGGTTTGAGACAGTCACCAGTTAAGAGTGGTTAACTGTCTTACTAGTCACTGCTATATACAGTGTGGTTTGATACAGTCTCCAGTTAAGAGTGGTTTAACTGTGGTATTAGTTAATATGTCTTTCTCTGTATCTTTATTTACAGTTACATACACTTACTGACTGTCCCTGTGGCAAGAGAATTAACTGTGACTGGTGTAGACTTACTCCTTCATACAGTCAGTTATAAGCCTCCAGTTTAGTACAGTTAATCACCTCTAGTTATTTACAGTTCATGATGACCAGTCACTTAACTAAAGTCTGGTTTGGATAGACAGTCTAATTCCACTTTTATTTGACAGTTTAGTCCAACCAGTTACAGTTACTAAGATAAAACAGTCAGTTAATTATTTCAGTTTGATTTACTTGTGTAATGTTGCTTCTTACAGTTATATAGCGACTGTTGGTAAAGGGTAACAGTTAATTTAAGTTCACAGTCTAATTTGTTTTGTTTCAGTTTAACAGTTAGATAAAAGTTAACAGTGTAAATCAGTTTGTTGTTGTTTCACAGTTAAATAGTGACTGTTAGCAAAGGGTAACAGTTAGCTAAATGCCAGTCTACAGTTAATTAACAACAGTCAACGAGGGTAACAACTCAAATTCACAGTCTAATCCACATTGCCTTTAATTCTCACAGTCATACAGAAAACAGTCAGAAATGAATCCAGTTAGAATTGAATGGCATAAAACAGTCAGAAAAGAATCCAGTTAGAATTGAATGGCATAAAACAGTCAGAAAATAATCCAGTTAGAATTGAATGGCATAAAACAGTCAGAAAAGAATCCAGTTAGAATTGAATGGCATAAAACAGTCAGAAATGAATCCAGTTAGAATTGAATGACATAGAAACAGTCAGAAAAGAATGCAGTTAGAATCGAGCGGTGTTTACATCTCCACATTTCTACCCTTCCAGTGATTGCCGTTTATGACTACAGTGCTGACAAGGAGGACGAACTGACCTTCTCGGAAAACGCCGTCATCTACGTACTCAAGAAGAACGACGATGGGTGGTGGGAGGGCGTAATGAACGGCGTCACCGGACTCTTCCCCGGGAATTACGTCGAGCCGCTCATGTGAAGCGGCCGGGGTAGCCGCCGTGCGTCCGTTGATACTAACTCATCGCGGATTATTAGTACACTTGACGTCAAGGATGGGATTTATACCTTCGGCGGTCCGGTTATCACCCCAGGAGACTGAACGACCTACACACATACACACGCACACACATACACACGCACACACAGACACACACCTAACCAGTGCTGTACAGTAGTTAAGGTCATTTATAGTTTTAGTCGTTATCGATCACCTGAACATTAACACCCCTCCCCCCCCTCGCCTTAGATAGTTTCAGGGTGGTTAAAGTTCAGGGTGGTTAAGCTGGGGGTGACTTCAGGTGAGCACTTGGGGGTTAATCTTCAGGTGAGCACTTGGGGGTTAATCTTCAGGTGAGCACTTGGGGGTTAATCTTCAGGTGAGCACTTGGGGGTTAATCTTCAGGTGAGCACTTGGGGGTTAATCTACAGGTGAGCACTTGGGGGTTAATCTACAGGTGAGCACTTGGGGGTTAATCTTCAGGTGAGCACTTGGGGGTTAATCTTCAGGTGAGCACTTGGGGGTTAATCTACAGATGAGCACTTGGGGGTTAATCTACAGGTGAGCACTTGGGGGTTAATCTTCAGGTGAGCTCTTGGGGGTTAATCTTCAGGTGAGCACTTGGGGTTAATCTTCAGGTGAGCACTTGGGGTTAATCTTCAGGTGAGCACTTGGGGGTTAATCTTCAGGTGAGCACTTGGGGGTTAATCTTCAGGTGAGCACTTGGGGGTTAATCTTCAGGTGAGCACTTGGGGGTTAATCTTCAGGTGAGCACTTGGGGGTTAATCTACAGGTGAGCACTTGGGGGTTAATCTTCAGGTAACCACTTGGGGAGGAGGGGGGCTATTCTTCAGGTGTTCTATATAGCGTACAACTACAGATCATTTCTACACCATCACCCAAACAAAAAATATATACATTACGTTCTGTCAACAATATATATCCTAAATCTATTTATATAAGCTCAAAATACTATACCACTTTCTCCTAATAGTTGATATACTATAAACATGTATATATATATATGCTTTTTCTTATAGGATTAAAATTATTCGTATTTTAAGTGAGGGATTTTTTTTATTAGCGGCCTAGTCAAATACTTATGTTTATATTCAGTTTACTGGAGCATTTGTTGTGTTTATCGGCCGAAATACGTCGTGCTCGTGACCGGACGGATACGCTCTTCAAGATCGTTTGGTAGTTAGGGTGTTTACTCGCTTGAAATCGTTTCCACTACCTGATGAAATGTAAAAGGTTTAAACCCCAGCTTATTGTTAATCCACCTACTGTACCCTAATCCACCATCTAATCTTGATTTATAATTCCTACGATACCCCCCCCCCCTCTCTACACACACTGGGTTAGCTTAGGGTTAGGTTAGGTTCGGTTCGACTAGACTAGACTAGACCAGACTAGACTAGACTAGACTAACACCCATTTGACAAGCAACACCGACTGTTACACTGGGCTTGTTTGTGAGGCATATCCAATCCATGTAATTAACCTAAGCCAACCGCCATCACTACGCAGGATGCCACTTTGTAATATTTAGAACCAACGCAGATGATTTTATTCATGACCGGGGAGGGTTTATTCAGGACCGGGGGTGGGGGAGGGTTTATCCAGGACCGGGGTGGGGAGGGTTTATTCAGACCGGGGGGGTGGGGGAGGGTTTATTCAGGACTGGGGGGGTGGGTGTTAACTTGATTCAAGACTTTAAACCGAGGAACAATATTTTATTCTAATGTGTTCGGGTTTTTACTTGACTATTAGGCACCTTAGTTTATTGATTTTGGTTAGAGGTCTTAACGTAACCTAACCAAACCCTAACCAAACCTAACCTAACCCCACTAGTGCCAATAGGATACTCAGATCAAAAAATAACCTAGGTTGTCTAATCATCGGGTCAACCATAACTTATATAACCAAGTCTGATCTATGAATGTTGAAGAATAATACTAATGAATAACATAAATAATTAAATACTATTGAATAAATTTTAAAACCAGATTATTTTCCTAACTTGAATATCACATTTTTTTCGTCAATAAATTAGAATATGTCCTCAGTAGTTTTCAATGTTCATATATATATAATATGTTCCTTTGGGTATCTTCTATCATTATAGATTTACATTATACAATCTTCTATAATTCATTGTATATTAAATGATTCGATTACATAGTGTTTTATTTAATAGTTTATCTTAATTTGGTATGAGATGTTCAGTGCCGGATTTAGACCTGTGGAGGCCCATGGGCAGCCTCTTCGTGGAGGCCCATGGGCAGCCTCTTTGTGGAGGCCCATGGGCAGCCTCCTTGTGGAGGCCCATGGGCAGCCTCGCGGGAGGCCCATGGGCAGCTCGTGGAGGCCCATGGGCAGCCTCTTCGTGGAGGCCCATGGGCAGCCTCTTTGTGGAGGCCCATGGGCAGCCTCCTTGTGGAGGCCCATGGGCAGCCTCTTTGTGGAGGCCCCCCTCATTATAACTACCCAAGAGGGTGGGGTGGCGAGTGAAGCGAGCCTAAACATCTGGGAGTTCCGGGGGGCACTGTAGGACCCCCGGGAAAATTTTGAAATTTGAACACTTCTTTGGAGAATTTTGAAGCCATATGCAGTTATATTGAGGAAATTAGAACATTGAGAAATTTTTAATTAACTATATTTATTGATAGTGTACAAATTCCCAACACACACAAAAGTGAGACATGACTGGAGTCATTCATGTCGACCAGCCCTAATACCGCACATGTCAAAAATTTTCAAGAGACTTCACAGAAAAGAACAAATTATTAGTTATTACAGAGAGATGATTCTTTGCATTATTAATCAGATAAACCTGTACTCAAATAATGGTTTTATGTGATGGAATAGATAAACATGAATTTTAAAGAATGAAAATAAAAATAATCCAAATGATTAAACAAATACATAAAATATTGTAACATGTGGAGGCCCCCAGATTGTGGAGGCCCCTGGGCAGCTGCTCACTTTGCCCACTCCTGAATCTGGCCCTGGAGATGTTAATATATGTGTACTGTCTCTCTGTTATATACTGTTGGCAAGTACTGTCTCTGTTGGCAAGTAGTCTCTGTTATATACTGTTGGCAAGTACTGGCAAGAATGGAAGAACAAGAAAAAGAAGAACTATGATAATGATTATCAGACCTGACCTACAGTAATTAGAAAGAGGTTATGACCTGACCCAACAAAGGTCAAGAGGTCATGAAGGGCAAAGTAGTACTCGATGACAGTACCAGGCCCTGAAGGAGTACCAGGCCCTGATGGAGTACCAGGCCCTGAAGGAGTACCAGGCCCTGAAGGAGTACCAGGCCCTGAAGGAGTACAGGCCCTGAAGGGAGTGAAGGAGTACTCAGCCCTGAAGGAGGGCCAGTACCAGGCCCTGAAGGAGTACCAGGCCCTGATGGAGTACCAGGCCCTGAAGGAGTACCAGGCCCTGAAGGAGTACCAGGCCCTGAAGGCAGTGTCATTCATTAGCCATCAGAGTGGTCCATAGGGTGAAGCAGTAATTTGATAGATAATGATAGATAGCTAGGTATAAGGAGAGATAGATAGATAGAGATATAGATAGATACATAGATAAATATATAGGTAGATTAATATTAGTTCTATTATATATTACTGGTTATAAGAAAGTACAAAGATATTTTATATTTTCAGTTGGATTAGGAACCTAAGTATTTGACATTAAGTAATTTTATTAAATATTATGTTGGATTTATTTGATAATTAAAAATATAAATATGAAGTAAATTAATTAGGTAATGAAATAATTGATAAGTTTTATATTTGAGGTGAATTCTTGCGGTACGTCATTGAATAAATCGTTATTCTAAAATTATACAATACTATGCTTTTTAAGGTAATTATAAATAATTTTAACCATTTATTATTGGTTAAAAGACAACAATAAATGATTTAATTATTATAGTTTGTATATAAAGAAAGTTCTCTATCCAACTGAATATTATCTTTAAGGAATATGCATATAAACACATCGCAGCGATCGATAGCTTGTTATATAAAAACAAAATATATATTTACAAAATCTCTAAGTATAGCATAAAAATATAATATATAATTAATATGAAAGAAAATTATATAAAAATAATGTTACTTTTACTTTTACGAGTAACCTTCTACCTTGTAAATATTTAGCTATAGGATCCCTCATGAAGAAAGTGATCTACACGTCAGCTGATAGAACAATATTGTCCCTCTTGACCATCATTCACTAATAACAAGGTAATTACACTCCTTAACGACCCTTCACTCATATCTATAGACTAAATACACACTATTTAACCCACAAGTGGTCAGTTAATAGGGGAATAATGGGTTAAATTGGGGTTAATTGATGAAATAGTTAAGGATGGTTGGGTGTCAGATCTGTCGCGTCCATTGGGGATAATATTTTAAGGTTAGTTTATTTATGGCTAGAGGCAGAGCGTCATCCAGGTGTTGATTGGTTAGTTGTTACGTGTGTAGTTAGCTCCTTTTGGTTAATTAAGGAATAGAGGTTAAATAAGGTCATTAAACGTAAGATAGGGTTATAGGTTCATTTTGTCCTAATTATGTCTTGTTTGTAATTAAAATCTAATTAAACTTTTGGTGTAGGAATTATCTATTTTTAGGTAGTTTTTAAGAATTTGTTGATGTTTTATTATTATTAGTTTGTTATTTTTTGTGTTTAAAACAATTTATTATGTTTTAAATAATTGTAAGCGCTTAATTATTTTAGTATATAATCTATCTCTATCTATCTAAGTAACTATAGATAACTTAACTCATCAACAGGTGTTTAATATGATGAGCCATGGTTGAGAGTAGCGACGGGGAGAGTAAGGGGGGGGCGGCGGTGACGTCCTCTGGCACGATGGAAGGCGTCGCGTCGTCTCAGGTCCTCCCGACGCCGCCGCCATCACCACCGCGGCCGATGATATGCTACGGGAGGATTCTACTCGGGGAGATAACTCCTCTCTTGGCGGCCATGAAGCGTTCGACACCTAGATGGTCTGCGCATCAACAGGTAGGTCGGTGGTTCTATGGGGTAGCCTGGGGTGTGTGTCTGTAGTGTCCGTGTTTGTGGTCTATACAGTGGCCCCTCAGTTAACGAACTCAATCCGTTACAGAAGGTCGTTCGTTAACCGAAACGTTCGTTAACCGAAACCATTGTTTCAATGGGTTTTTAGGTAATTGGTTCCAGCTCACCGAAAATTTCCTAAATTCAACAAAAATGGTAGAAAAGTTCACTTACTTTGAGGTGTGTATGTAGAAGGCTCCTGGATGATGATGATGATGGGATTTAGAATGGGGGTGGAGGAGAAGGAAGAAGAGAAGGCATTGGGGTGGAAGAGAAGTCACCCCATGGTGCCATTTCACCCATAAAATTTTAGCTCTCTGGTTTAATTCAAGATTATTTTCTTTAAATCAACACTGCACTGCATTATATATTGTCAATATATAAAATATATTTCAAAATGACCAATAATTTGCTTGGAAACACAGAAAAAAAGTGTTTAGTTGAAGAGAGTCTCAAGCAAGATGTTACCTCCAGTGAAAACAGAGAGAGACTAACGCCTGTTTGTTGTGTTAAGAGGCTGGATGCCGCGCATTAAACTAGTCACTTTACCTTCAATTATGTTCAATAATTGTTAAAATTACTAAAAAATTGAATATTAAACTTTTAAAATTATTGAATAGTATAAACTTCTTGATATTTACAAAAATAGTAAGGAATTTAAGCCCTAGAACCGATTAATGTATTGGCGGACTGATACTAAAGCTGGTTGCCCGGTCAGTGCAAGCGAAAACATGTTGAGGTCGGTTCGTAAGAACTTCTTTTAGCGAATTTTTTTTCGTTAACCGAATTGAAGATCCTTATGGAAGGCAGTTCGTTAATCGAAATTACGTTAACTGAGGTGTTCGTTAAACGAGGGGTCACTGTATATGTAGTCAGTTCTTGGTATATTAAGGCTTTCATTGGCCTTTTTTCCGAGTCTAAGTTAATGTTCAGTTTTAATTCAGTTTTTTGGTTATTAAATCTGTTTTTTTAATTTAATTGAATTGAAACATTTATTTAGCCAGAAAAATAGATACAGAGTGGATAATAATAACAATATTAACATGGCTGAGCCAGTTGAGAACCTGAGCTCTCTTTGAGGCACCTGATATATACTACACATTTATCTCAAGGAAGTATTATGTAACATTTAGTATCATCTGGAATAGTACAATAGCATGGTGGTAATAACAACATGTTACCACGGTTATCACTTCAATATTTATTTATTTTATTATTTTTATTTTTTATTTGTTTATTTATTTTTTTTGTACATGCATATACACATATATATATATATATATATATATATATATATATATATATATATATATATATATATATATATATATATATATATATATATATATATATATATACACTCCCGTATATACATATACACATACATACATACACATAAATTAAAGTGGAATTGAAAAACATAAGTATAATGGGGGAGCAGTACAACCTGGGTTGTACAGTAATAAGGTTGAACAAGAGGACAGAGCTTTCAGGATTATGTCTAGTTGGCAATTATGTTTATTGCAATGGTAATTACTTATTTCTTTACATGATAATTTCTGATAAAACGGTTTTGATGGTACAATAAAAGCAGGTACTGTTTTGATAAGTAAATGTTTTGTTTTAATTAAGTATTTGGTTTTAAATTTTGTTTTAGATTGACTGATTCCTGTTGTTCCTTCTTCCACACCTCGATCATCACAGCTAATGTTACTTCCCAAATACACAACATTTTCCATATGTTTAAATTTTCTGTTGTCTACCATAATGTTTTTTTATTTTATTTATTTACAATTATGAACCTTCAATTAATTTTGTCTTTACTGCATTAACTTTTAAGCTATATTTTTCACCTTTTACCACTAACCTAACCTAACCTAACCCACAGAGCATTATCATAGATACTTGTTTTAATGTGATTCTATAATGTGTTTACAACTGCGAGGTGACTAATTTTTAGGTGAAATAAGCCAGGGTGTCTTTAAGTGCTACAACACCTTCAACAAACACACACAGTTGACCCCACACCTCCTCCTCCAGGACATGGAGCGCGATCCTCTCGTCGTGAAGCTCAAAGAACTGCGGACGAGCGTGACTTCCTTAGGCCCGGACGACACCATGGACCCCAGCACGTTCCTCGACCCATTTCTGTCGATAATTCGCTCCGAGGACACGACCGGCCCGGTGACCAAAAGTGCTCTAGCTGCGGTCAATAGGTGAGGTTGTGGTGTGGGGGGTGGTTGGGGGGTGTTGGAGATCAATTAGGGTGAGTTTACTTCACCAATTATAAATACCGAACCAATAAAATCACTAAGACCTTTTAGATACAACGAACATTAATCTAATACAAATATCTTTTAGTCTTTAGCACAACGTAAACAATTAATTAAGTGTATTTATTACCATTAGTGCGTGTCGTTAGAGGTTTAACGAGGGTAGTTAGATGTTATGGTTTGTTTACTGTGTTCATGGTAAGTCCCTGAGAGGTGATTGGTGGGTGGGAAGTCTCTAAGAGGTGATTGGTGGGAACAGTTGTTAGTATAGTAATCATGGGATGAAATAGGTTTTAAAACTTTGGTAAATTGGATTAGAATGAAATAATTAATTTAAATTGAATAGAAATTGATTTATGGGTCATGTTAATAATGTGTGTGTTTGTTTGTTGTTCTTGTTCTTGGAGTTTCTTCTTTCTCCTGTCCTTCATCTTTATTCATTCCTCCTCCTTCCTCTCTTCCTCCTCCTCCTCCTTCTTCAATTTCTTCTTCTTCCTCCTCTCCTTACTCTCTATCCCCCTCCTCCTCTTCTCTTCCTCTCTTCCTCCTCCTTTCCTCTCTTCCTTCTCCTCCTCCTCCTCCAACTTCTTCCTCCTCTCCTCTTCCTTCTTCCTCTCTTCCTCCTCTCCTTCTTCCTCCTCCCTCCTCCAACTTCTTCCTCCTCCTCTCCCCCTCTCCTCCTCTATCCTCTTCCTCCTCCTCTCCCTCCTCCCCTGCTCTGCTCCCCCCCTCACAGCCCTCCCCCTGTTGCAGGATGCTGAGCTACGGGCTCATCACAGAGGAGTGCTCCAGCGCCGCCAGCGCCGTGGAGGCCGTGGCCGCCGCCGTCACCCACGCCCGCTTCGTGGGGACCGACCAGGGGGCCGACGAGGTGGTCCTCTGGGAGATCCTGACGGTCCTGCGTACGCTCATGCTGGGTCCTGCGGGTCACCTCCTCACCAACGAGTCCGTGTGCGAGATCCTCAACTCCTCCTTCAGGATCTGCTTCGAGACGAGGCTGAGCGAGCTCCTGAGGAACTGCACCGAGGATGCTCTGAGACACATGGTGCAGCTGTTGTTTGCCCGGCTGCCACAGTTCAAGGACGACCCCAGGGGCCAGGGGCAGGCCAAGAGGCTCAAGATGAGGGCCGGCGGCGAGGGCAAGGGTAGGAGGAGGGGCAAGTCCCCTCGCCCGACTCCGTCCTCCACTCCTCCGCCGCCCGAACCTCCCCCTTCGGCCGAGGTGCCGGAGGAGGAAGAGGCGGAGGAGGAGGAGGAGGAGGAGGAGGCAGACGCTGGCGTGAAGGAGGAGGCGGAGGAGGAGGCGGAGGAGGAGGAGGCAGACGCTGGCGTGAAGGAGGAGGCGTCGCCAGCAGCTGTCGTCTCTCCGTGCGAGTCGGAGCCGGAGTCCATCGGTAGCGCCGCGGTGGGAGACACGGCCTCCGTCGACTCGGGCGTCGTGGAGCCCATCTGCCCCATCTCCCTCAAGGTGGACATCTCCAATGCTCACTTGGCCCCAGATAACTGCAGCTCTATGGAGAACCTCGCATCTCCCGTGACGGAGACCGACGGCGGTCAGTGCACCAAGGGGGGAGATGTCGAACTGTTGGAGTCCATCTCCGGAGAATGCTTGGAGACCGACACGTCGCAGTCGTCGGTGGAGGCGGCGGCAAACCGCGGAAACCCAGAGTCGGAGCCGTCGGAGCCGTCGCCGCCCCGGCCGGAGGACTTACTGCAGGCGGAGAAGGAGGACTTCATCAATGCCCAGGGGGTCAAGTTCACACAGGAGGGAGTGAGCGTGGAGGGGGGAGCTCTGGTGCCCTACGGGATGCCCTGCGTCAGAGAAGTGTTCAGGTTCCTCATCTCCCTGACTTCCCCAACCAACGAGCAGAACACCCCGTCCATGATACTGACGGCCCTCAACCTCCTGACCGTGGGGCTGGAGGTCGGAGCGCACCACATCAACCACACCACCTCCCTCATCACTCTCCTCAAGGACCAACTGTGTAGGAATCTCTTTTTGCTCCTCAAGCCGGAGCACAGACTGGGCATCTTCATGGCCTCGCTGCGGATATGTACGCTGTTCTGCGAGTCCCTCCGCACGCACTTCAAGTTCCAGATAGAGATGTTCCTCGACAAGCTGACGGAGATCGTCACCTCGGAGACGGCCGGCGTGACGTACGCCCACAAGGAGCTGGCCCTGGAGACCATCGTCCAGCTGTGGCGCATCCCCGGCCTGATAACGGAGCTCTTCCTCAACTACGACTGTGATCTGTACGCCTCCAACCTGTTCGAGGATCTGACTAAGGTCCTCTCCAAGAACGCCTTCCCGGTCCAGGGTCTCTACTCCACCAACCTCCTCTCTCTGGAGGCTCTGTTTACGGTCATCGAGACCATCGAGGGCCACGGCAGGGCCGGGAACGCCAAACCTTCCGACGCCTCCCGGGATCCAAAAGGGGTCCCCCTGGTGGTGGCCCCGGTGTCTTCTGGGTACCTCCTGGGGCTGGGTCTTCGCGGGGGGTTCTGCCCCGTCACCCCGCGGCTGAAGGCTCGCTCAGTCCTGACCGACGACCGGACGGTCTCCCGGGAACACCTCGTGGCCCTCAAGGAGAAGAAGAAGCTGCTGGCCGCCGGGACGGACCAGTTCAACGCCAAGCCCGACAGAGGCATCAAGTTCCTGCAGGACAACGGAATAATCGGCCAGACCAACGAGGACGTCGCCCTGTTCCTGAGAGAGAATCCTCGGCTGTGTAAGAAGATGATCGGGGAGCTGGTCAGCAGGAAGAAGAACATGGACATTCTCTCCGCCTTCGTCAGGTCCTTCGAGTTCCGGGCCCTGAGGGTGGACGAGGCCCTGCGCACCTTCCTGGAGAGCTTCAGGCTGCCCGGAGAAGCTCCGCTCATCTCCATCATCATCGAGCACTTCTCCTCCCACTGGCACCTGAGCAACGAGGAGCCGTTCGGGAAGGAGGACGCGGCCTTCACCCTGGCCTACGCCATCATCATGCTCAACGTGGACCAACACAACCAGAATGCCAAGAAGCAGAACGTGCCCATGACCCTCGACCAGTTCAGGAACAACCTGCGCGGGGTCAACGACGGGGCCGACTTCGACCCCGACATGCTGGAGGAGATATACGACGCCATCCGTCTGGACGAGATAGTGATGCCGTCGGAACACACGGGCCCGGTGAGGGAGAACTACCTGTGGAAGATGTTACTCAAGAGAGGGGCCACCAAGGAGGGCCGGTACGTCCTGGCCAACGGCAACACCGCCTTCGACCGCGACCTGTTCGCCCTCTCTTGGGGCCCCACCATCGCCTCCCTCTCTTACGTGTTCGACAAGTCCTCCGACGATGCCATCGTCCAGAGGGCCGTGTCGGGTTTCAGGAAGTGCGCCTCCATCTCCGCCAGGTACGGCATGAGCGACGTGTTCGACAACCTGGTCGTGTCTCTGTGTAAGTTCACCACCCTGACGGCCTCGTCCGGGGAGGCGCCGGAGCACGTGACCGCCTCGTTCGGGGCCAACAAGAAGGCCCAGCTGGCGGCCAGGACGGTGTTGGGGCTGGCCACCTCTCACGGGGACATCCTGAGGGACGGCTGGAAGAACATCCTGGACCTGCTCCTGCAGCTGTTCCGCTGTAGACTCCTGCCGTCCACCCTGGCGGAGAGCGAAGACTTCGTGGAGACCGGCGGCCGAGTCAGCCTCCTGAGGGAGACTCCCGCCGCCGTGCCCAGGGTGGAGTCCGGCCTCCTGTCCTCGCTCTACTCCTACATCTCCCTCGGGGACGCAGGGACGACCCGGGGAGCCGACCCGGAGGACGCGGAGCTGTCCCGGCGGGCGAGGACCTGCATCCTGGAGTGTCGCCCGGAGAAGCTGGTGACGGAGTCCGCCTTCCTCCGCTGCGACTCCCTCCACGAGCTGCTCAAGGCCATGATGGGTGCGGGGGACGCCAGCACCCTCGGGGAGGCCGGGGTGGGGTCGAGGGGCGGCCCGACGGAGGGGGGGCCGGGGGGGGGCCTCGACGAACACAGCCAGGCGTTCCTCCTGGAGTTGGTCATACAGGTCCTGGTGGCCAACAAAGACCGGGCCCTGGGGGTGTGGCCCGGGGTACGCAACCACATCTACGCCCTTCTGATGGGTGCAGCCGCTGCGGACCGCCAGTTCCTGTTGGAGCGTTGCGTCGTGGCCATGTTACGTCTGGCTAAAGTCCTCCTCAGACGGCCCAACCTGGCCAACCCCATACTGCAAGGGTTCCGTATGTTATTGTTGCTGCGGCCGTCGGTGCTGCTGCGTATCTCACTACAGGTTGTGTGCGGCCTACGGGAGGTGAGTCAACTATGGGGTCTCTTGTTATTACTCAAGTGATTATAACTTAACTTTATTTAACATTATAATGACTTAACAACTTTACTTACAAATTATAATAACTTAACAACTTTACTTAACATTATTATTACTTAGATTTACTTAACATTATTATTACTTAGATTTACTCAGCAAATTATAATAACAGCTCTACTTTACAAATTATTAAGAACTACAGACATAAAGTATTCAATCTCTTTAACGTATGTTCATTCTCGTTCACTCTAAAAGATACTGTGTTATTACCACATGTTCAATCTTGTTCACCAAAAAGCCCAGTTATTCTCCTGTTATTACCACATGTTCAATCTTGTTCACCAAAAAGCCCAGTTATTCTCCTGTTATTACCACATGTTCAATCTTGTTCACCAAAAAGCCCATTTATTCTCCTGTTATTACCACATGTTCAATCTTGTTCACCAAAAAGCCCAGTTATTCTCCTGTTATTACCACATGTTCAATCTTGTTCACCAAAAAGCCCAGTTATTCTCCTGTTATTACCACATGTTCAATCTTGTTCACCAAAAAACAAGAACAGTTATCACCACTCATTCACCCCTAATCAGATCATTTAAAAAATTCTCCGTTATTTCAGGTTTTAAGCGTAAACACGGACCATATCCAAGACCCCAACGACTGGGCGGTGTTGTTCAACCTACTCGAGTGTGCTGGGGCTGGGGCTAAACCTCCTCCCATTGTTAACTCCGAGCAGGCCGATGCTACGAGTGATGCAGGTGGGTTGAGGTGGGGTGGGGGTGGGTTGGGGTGGGTTAGGAGTAAGTTAGTTTATGTTAGGTTAAGTTGTTATTGGGGGATTTTTAGTTTGTCGGGGAAAATTCTCATAAACCGAACCTTCGTAAATTCAGGAATGCCACCACACGCACACCCACACACACACACACCCACACACACACACTACACACACCCACACACACACACACACACACACACACACACACACACACACACACACACACACACACACACACACACACACCCACACACACACACACACACACACACACACACACACACACCGACCCCACACAAAAGATGCATTCCCACCATTCATGTTTACGTTATGTCTCACAGGATCCTTATCGGACAGCGACATGGGCAGTACCTCAGGGATCGATTCCGGCCACTGCACGGAAGGCGGGGCGAGTGATTCTGCCGAGCCGTCGAGCCCCATGGCCGCCCCAGAACACACCGAAGGAGTTAAGCCCAGTCAGCGTTCTCGAGCAGCCAGTCCCGATCCTCTACACAATACTGGGGGCTGGATTCTGGTAAATAATGTAACATCGATAACTATCTTTTACAGCGGAACATCTAGTTAATGGACTATATTGAGATGAAAGTCCATTATATCAAGGGTTCGTTAAATGTGAAACCTCCATATAATGAACTATATTGAGATGAAAGTCCATTATATCGAGGGTCAGTTAGATGTGAAACCTCCATATAATGAACTATATTGAGATGAAAGTCCATTATATCAAGGGTTCGTTAAATGTAAAACCTCCATATAATGAACTATATTGAGATGAAAGTCAATTATATCGAGGGTTTGCTGTATGGTAAATGATGGTGGTAATTTAACATAGGTGGTAGATTATGGTAATTTAACATGTATGGTTGATTATGGTAATTTAACGTGTATGGTTGATTACCCTAAAGGAGACAGGATAGCGTTAATCTGCCTTGTGTTGTGTTGTCATGACTCCCGGAATGTGAGGTAAATCTGATTAAATCTTTGTAGCCGATTTAAGTCATTTTTGTGGGCCAGATTTAGGTGTTTGTGTTGATGGGACTTTGTTGATAGGTAGGAGAGAGTGAGGGAGGGAGGGAGTGAGGGAGGAAGGAAGTAAGGGAAGGAGAGAGAGAAGGAATGAAGGAGAACGTGACTAAAAAAGTGAGTTTTCATTACCGTAAAAAAGAAAAAAATCCACTGGAAATTACGCCCCAGACTTGACCCCCAGACTAAACCCCACACCTCGTCGCTTCAGGTCGGCCGAGAAGGCGAGATCGAACCCGTGGCCGTACGAGCCGTGGCCGTAAACGAATGGGACATCGTACACCAGAGACAGCTGGGTGAACACCGCCCTGAAGCACTGGTCCAAGCCGTCGACACCCTAATGTTCCTGGTGAGAGATCGACGCATCACTCACTCCAGTCTACCCTCTGCTGTCCAGGCTTGTCGGACGTTCGTGGAGGCTACCTTGCACGGAGGTGAGAATCGCCCCTCTGTTGGGGTCAGAATCGGGATTATTTATTTTTAATTAAGTTGATTTAAGTCCAGATTTTGTTTTTATTAAGTAAAATATTTAAAAAAAGTACAAATTTAATTCCTTATTTGCTCTAGAGTTCTGTTATAAACTTATCAGCCAAAGAAATAAATTATCTGATGTCTTTACAAAAGTCATCTACATAATTAAACATTAAAAGCCTTCACTAATAATGTTCACTATTAAGTTTTGTCCACAAGAGTAATTACAATATTTTATAACCGAGTCGACCAACGCAAGTAACGTCTCTTTGTTTAATTTACGCTCTATTGGACTTAAAACATGTGCAGGTTAGTGTTAGGTTAGTTTATCATTAGGTTAGGTTAGTCTCTGAATTATATCCCACATAAATATTAATTGTAAATATACTTAAATCATTACTGCACAAACCTAATTATTTAGTTAAAAACCCTAATTAACTACACATTAACGACACATTAACGAAGCAGTACCATCAAACTACCTCGTTCGTTTGTCTTTCAGGCCAGACGGAAAAACGCTCCGCGCAGAAGGAGAGCTTGAGGTCTCCGTCGCGTCGCAAGACCGGCGGGCGACGCAAGGACGACAAGACGACCTCCCGGAGACCCAAATCTCCGACTAACGGCCCCAACGCCTACGACGCCGATGAATCCGACTCCGACGACGTTCCCATGACCTATCAGCAGGTGTCGGAGAAGGTCGGTGGATTGTACGAGTCGTTTGATCGTTAACGAGGTGTAGGGATGGTTAGAACAAGTAACATGACCTCGTGTTAAAAGATTGATAAATAGCAATGAGGGAAAAAAATAGCTTGGGTTGGAATATAAGAATAGCTCATTAGAGGATATATAAATAGCATAAAATAGCAGTGGAAGTAAATAGCTCCGTGTTAAAAGATAAATAAATAGCAATGAGGGAAAAAAATAGCTTGGGTTGGAATATAAGAATAGCTCATTAGAGGATATATAAATAGCATAAAATAGCAGTGGAAGTAAATAGCTCAAGTTAAAAGGTAAATAAATAGCAGTGAGAAAGAAATAACTCATTAAGAGATAAATTAATAGCAATAACACAAATAGATCATGTAATAGGTAGATAAATAGCTGTAAAAAAACAATAGCAAAATAAAATAGCTCGTTAAAATAGAAATAAATAGCCAAAAAAACAATTGAATATCGCTTAAAAAAACACAGATGGATTTATGGATCTACTCAATGTTTACTTTCCTATAAACACTCCGTAAATTGGTCGTCCGTTTAATCATGTCGTTCGGTCGTTTATTTCAGCTATTGGACCTCATGGATACGCTACACACCGCCTCCAGCGAGATCGTCGGATTGGGTGATCAGTCGACCAATCATCAGGCCTCGTCGCCCTCTCTCTGGCCACAGGCGCTTTGTCCCCTCCTTCAGGGTATCGCTCGTTACTGCTGCGATTCTCGGGCCACGGTATGTATCTAGCCTAGGGTTTGGTTGGGTTTTGGTTAGATTTGGTTGGGTTTGGGGTTAGGTTAGATTAGACTAAAATTTACATAAACTAACAATAAAATACAAAATAAACTCAACGGAGAGATTAAATAAACACACACGACCCACCACAACCCACCACCACCCACCCACACACCACGACCCACCCTAACCACCCCATACCACCCTCAGATCCGCAACATGGCCATGACGTACCTCCAACGAGCGCTACTCAACCACGACCTCCAGGCTCTGAGCGCAGGGGAGTGGGAGGCCTGCTTCAATAAGGTCCTCTTCCCTCTATTGGCCAAGCTCCTACAGCCTCTCCCTGGGTCGAGTCCTGCGTCCTTGGAGGAAACTCGGGTCCGCGCGGCCACTCTCGTCCAGAAGGTGAGGAGGGGATTTGTTTAGGGGTTAATGAGTGTTTGTTGTGGGGTAAGGAGGATTTATTTGTTTTATTGCTGTAGTGAGGAGGATTTATTTGTTTTATTGCTGTAGTGAGGAGGATTTATTTGTTTTATTGCTGTAGTGAGGAGGATTTATTTGTTTTATTGCTGTAGTGAGGAGGATTTATTTGTTTTATTGCTGTAGTGAGGAGGATTTATTTGTTTTATTGCTGTAGTGAGGAGGATTTATTTGTTTTATTGCTGTAGTGAGGAGGATTTATTTGTTTTATTGCTGAGGAGTGATTTATTTGTTTATTACTGTAGGAGTGATTTTTTGTTTATTAAGTAGTGAGGAGGATTTATTTGTTTTATTGCTGTAGTGAGGAGGATTTATTTGTTTTATTGCTGTAGTGAGGAGGATTTATTTGTTTTATTGCTGTAGTGAGGAGGATTTATTTGTTTTATTGCTGTAGTGAGGAGGATTTATTTGTTTTATTGCTGTAGTGAGGAGGATTTATTTGTTTTATTGCTGTAGTGAGGAGGATTTATTTGTTTTATTGCTGTAGTGAGGAGGATTTATTTGTTTTATTACACGAGGAATTTTTTTTTATTGTATTAATGTATTGAGAAAAAAATTGATTTACCCCATTACCGACTCTTATAACCCCACCCCCCCCCCCCAGGTCCACGGCTGTATTTACCAACGTTCGGACGATATTAATGCCTATTTTCTCCGACCCCATAGGTGTATCTTCGACACCTGACGCCTTTGTTGACGCTGCCAACGTTCACCGCTCTTTGGCTGACGATCCTCGACTTCATGGATAAATACCTCAATATCCACCGCTCGGATCACCTGGTGAGTCGCTTCTGTCTGTCTTTTGTTTCTTTGTCTGTGTGTCTGTGTCTGTTTTTGTCTGTGTGTTTGTCTATCTGTCTGTCTGTCAATTATGTATGTATGAAACCTCTGTCTGTCTGTCTGTCTAATTATCTACCTACCTAATTGTCTGTGTGTGTGTCAATCTATCTATCTAACTATCCATCTAACTATCCACCTAACTACAGTACCTATCTATCCATCTAACTACAGTATCCACCTATCTATCCACCCATCCCTAACCTCTCACCACCCCCAATCGACCAAACATAAACAATAAATACCGACCCCAAAGTAAAAAAAAAATATTTCTCCCGACCCCAAAGTAAAAAAAAATTTTCTCCTGACAGAGCGACGCCATCCCGGAGATCTTGAAGAACATGCTATTGGTCATGGAGACGACTCAGGTCTTCCACACGGCCGACGGCTTCACGCGGCTGTGGACGATAACATGGGACCGCATCGACGCCTTCCTACCCGACTTCCGACATAATCTGTTCCGTAGTCATCCGCCGTGTGAGTTTGTTTAGGGTGTGAGGGGGGGGTGAGAGAGAGAGAGAGAGAGAGAGAGAGAGAGAGAGAGCTTCATTATATTACACCTGAAAAACTAACCTAACTTAACGTAAATCTAACCTAAAACTAACCTAACCATTATTTTACAGCTGAGATACACAAGATCGAGGTCGTACCATCGGAGACCACGACCAAGTCTCCGTCATCATCCCATCCCACGACCCCAGATGGCAGCAGAGTAAGCACGGGACCCCAGGGAACCCCATCGGCGACCTCCTGTACCCCAGAGACGTTACCCCAGGCAGCTACTGATGTGGACCCCGCCAGTCCCACGGCTGACGGGGGGGCAGAGCCTTTCGCCCCCCCTACGTTACGAGAACAACAAGCCGCGAGGTAAACAAATCAGCGGAGGTAAACACGGCCAGAATACAGTACCTATGGCCTGGTGTTGTTGAGGCGATAGGTAAATAAACTGAGGAATTTACACACAGCCAGCCTACCTATAGCCTGGTATTAGGAGACGATAGGTAAATAGCTAACCTAACCCAACATCAACCTAACCTAACCCAACCTAACCCAACCAAGCCCAACCTAACCTAACCAAACCCAACCTAACCTAACCAAACCCAACCAAACACTAACGACCACAATCGTCCGCAGGTTATCACTGAGTCAAGACGCCCTACCAACTTGTTACAGCAACGCGGTGATTCTCCAGCCACCGTTACCAACCCTCTTGCCCGTTAACTTCACCCCTCCTGCGTCTCTGACCGCGGCGACGACTTCTTCTTCTCCTCAGGTGAGTCGTTTAGCTGTGATGTTGTGGTGTGTGTGTGTGTGTGTGTGTCAGCCTTTGTTTTGATTTCTTCGATTGCGCTCTCTCTCTCTCTCTCTCTCTCTCTCTCTCTCTCTCTCTCTCTCTCATATATGTCGTTCATTCCTCTCCTCTCGAAAATAACCTAACCTAACCTAACCATACGACCGCCCCACTAACTATGCCCGGCACAGGATAGAACCCATGTCTCATAACTCTAACTCTGGCACTAACTGAACGACTGAGCGATTTAATCATTTAATTCCATGTCGTTGTCTCGTTTACATCTGGGAGAAAGTCGAGGTTAAGGGGTAATTTTAGCCCTTATTGATCACCTGAAGATTAGCACCCCACTCCCTTTCCCCCTCCCCCACCTAGTGCTTACCTGAAGTCATCCCCAGCTTAACGAGCATGAAACTATCTAGGGGTAATGCTCAGTTGATCCCTAATTGCCCCAAACCACTAAATGACCTCGTTCATGATCTTCACTACTGATGCATGTAACTAATTAATCCATATGTAAATAATTTATATCATGGTCGTTACACCTCAAATTATATATATATTATTATTATTACTGTATTATTTATTTTATATTTAGTTTATTTGTTTGTTGTTCTTGTTACTGTATTTTTTTGTATTATTTAAATTATCTTTGTTACTCTTCAATAATTTTTACTGATTCCTGCATTGAAAACTGTAATTTGAGTTATATTTTACCAATTACATTTACAGTTTACATAATGTAATCTAATCCTTTGTGCATCTTAATTATTACACCAATTTCTGTATCAAGTTACTGTATTTTGGTAAAGGATTTTGTCACTGTATTTTGGTTAAAGATTTTGTAACTTCAGATTTTGTTACTGTATTTTGGTTAAGAATTTTGTAACTTCAGATTTTGTCACTATATTTTGGTTAAGAATTTTGTAACTTCAGATTTTGTCACTATATTTTGGTTAAGAATTTTGTAACATCAGATTTTGTCACTGTATTTTGGTTAAGAATTTTGTAACATCAGATTTTGTCACTATATTTTGGTTAAGAATTTTGTAACATCAGATTTTGTTACTGTATTTTGGTTAAGGATTTTGTAACGTCAGATTTTTGTCACTGTATTTTGGTAAAGGATTTTGTCACTGGGTATTTTGCTATGATTTTGTAACATCAGATTTTGGTTACCATATTTTGCTAAGAATTTTGTAACATCAGATTTTGTCACTATATTTTGGTTAAGAATTTTGTAACTTCAGATTTTGTTACTGTATTTTGGTTAAGGATTTTGTAACGTCAGATTTTTGTAATGTAGTGAAGATGACTGTATTTTGGGATTTACGTGATTTTGTACAGTATGGTGGTTGATGGGATTCTGTTATGTACCATTGATGTTGATGACGGGAATATGATGTTATTGTTTATTTTTTGATATTTTGAGTCATTTGATGATTACCTCCCCCTTCCCCCCTCAAGTGCTCACCTGAAGATTAGGTTCCTTAGTGCTCACCTGAGATTAGGTTCCTTAGTGCTCACCTGAAGATTAGGTTCCTTAGTGCTCACCTGATGATTAGGTTCCTTAGTGCTCACCTGAAGATTAGGTTCCTTAGTGCTCACCTGAGATTAGGTTCCTTAGTGCTCACCTGAGATTAGGTTCCTTAGTGCTCACCTGAGATTAGGTTCCTTAGTGCTCACCTGAGATTAGGTTCCTTAGTGCTTACCTGAGATTAGGTTCCTTAGTGCTCACCTGAAGATTAGGTTCCTTAGTGCTCACCTGAGATTAGGTTCCTTAGTGCTCACCTGAAGATTAGTTCCCTCAAGTGCTCACCTGAAGATTAGGTTCCTTAGTGCTCACCTGAAGATTAGCTCCCCCAAGTGCTCACCTGAATACCCCCCCCCTTTGATTCTTACCAAGTTTTCTCTGATGTAAACATTCTGACGACCCTAGAGAGAAAGACTCATATTTTACGTTGACTTTTTTATCCCATGACGCAGATGCTGTCAACAACCCCCCTGGCCGGTGGGAGTTTGATCGCTAGCCCCGTACCTCCCGCCCTGCCTCACCTCGCCCCCTCACCCCCTCCTCCCCCCCAGGTCGATCCACCAAAACCTCTCCCGCCCATATTCCGCGTGGAGCCTCCGACCCCACCCACGTCTTCCCGGAACGACGGGCGGAGGTCGTCGTCGCCGCCCGTGCACCGCCCCGTCGACCCGTCGTTCCCCCACACACCCACTACCACACCCCACACACCCACTACCACACCCCACACCACACCCCACACACCCATTCCACCTTCAGAGGCTTGCATCCACCTCAATCAGGATGAACTGGCAACATCTACGAGTCATGATACACTTGATAGCTCCGTCTCCTCTAGCCGCCCTAAGCAAGTTTCTGGACCATCGACGCAGCACGAACGCGTACAGAACGCGAGTCCGTGTCACCCAGAAGCCTATCAGTACACGCCAACGCACCCCACTCCCCATCGGATGACGAACGTTGCCTCTGAATTCCCGCCGACGAACTTACTCAATCAACCTATGCAGACGAACTTGTCATTTGATCAGATGCCAACAAATGCACAATATCATCCCATGCAAACAAACACACACACGAACGCACCCTTTGACTCCACACCAACAAACGCACACTATTACCCCATGCAAGCAAACGCACCCTTTGACTCCACACCAACAAACGCACACTATTACCCCATGCAAGCAAACGCACCCTTCGAGTCCACACCAACAAACGCACACTATTACCCCATGCAAGCAAATGCACCCTTTGACTCCACACCAACAAACGCACACTATTACCCCATGCAAGCAAACGCACCCTTTCACCACACACCAACACTGCCCGATACCATAAATGGGTCTTTCCCGCTACCACTCACCACGACGCACCCTGACACGCACCCTAACACACACCCTGACATGCACCCTGACACGCACACACACGACCCCAATGCTCTTAACGTCACCGGCAGCTACATCCCGAACGACGTCAACAAACCAGCCACGACACAGATCACCTCTAATGATGTTTCTCTCACCACCTATGCCGACACCACTACCACCACTGCCATCACTACCACCACTACCACCACTGCCATCACTACCACCACTACCACCACCACTAAACCAGGGTCAATTTTCCCACTCTCTCTACCATCATTCCTCAATCCATTTGCTGTGGAAGTTGACGTAGAGTTGGAAGCAGCGGCCGGTGACGTCGACCCCAGACCCTCGGCAGTAGACCCCGTCACGGTCGAACCTTCCTCCTCCTCCTCTTCCTCCTCCCCGGGGCATGATTCAGCATCTTATGTTGTCAAGGTAGTGTTTCGTTGACTTTTGTTTTGTTTTTTCTGATTTTTATTAAGTTTCTGGGGATCACCTGAAGTTTAAACACCCCACCGTATATTTTATCTTGACATTAACACACACACACACACACACACACATGTACAGAGTGTCTTATAGTTCACACACACATGTACAGGGTGTGTTATAGTTCACACACACATGTACAGGGTGTCTTATAGTTCACACACACATGTACAGGGTGTCTTATAGTTCACACACACATGTACAGGGTGTGTTATAGTTCACACACACATGTACAGGGTGTCTTATAGTTCACACACACATGTACAGGGTGTGTTATAGTTCACACACACATGTACAGGGTGTGTTATAGTTCACACACACATGTACAGGGTGTGTTATAGTTCACACACATGTACAGGGTGTGTTATGGATCACACACATGTGCAGGGGTGTCTTATAGTTCACACACATGTACAGGGTGTCTTATAGGTCACACACACACATGTACAGGGTGTCTTATAGTTCAAACACACACATGTACAGGGTGTCTTATAGTTCACACTCACACATGTACAGGGTGTCTTATAGCTCTCACACACACATGTACAGGGTGTCTTATAGTTCACACACACATGTACAGGGTGTCTTATAGTTCACACACACATGTACAGGGTGTCTTATAGTTCACACACACACACATGTACAGGGTGTCTTATAGTTCACACACACATGTACAGGGTGTCTTATAGTTCACACACATGTACAGGGTGTCTTATAGTTCACACACACATGTACAGGGGTGTGTATAAATTCACACACACATGTACAGGGTGTGTTATAGTTCCACACACACATATACTGCAGTGTCTTATAGTTCACACACACATGTACAGGGTGTGTTATAGTTCACACACACATGTACAGGGTGTGTTATAGTTCACACACACATGTACTGGGTGTCTTATAGTTCACACACACATGTACAGGGTGTCTTATAGTTCACACACACATGTACAGGGTGTCTTATAGTTCACACACACATGTACAGGGTGTCTTATAGTTCACACACACATGTACAGGGTGTCTTATAGTTCACACACACATGTACAGGGTGTCTCATAGTTCACACACACATGTACAGGGTGTCTTATAGTTCACACACACATGTACAGGGTGTCTTATAGTTCACACACACATGTACAGGGTGTCTTATAGTTCATACACACATGTGCAGGTGTCTTATAGTTCACACACACATGTGCAGGGTGTCTTATAGTTCACACACATGTACAGGGTGTGTGCAATTCCACACACACACATGCAGGAGTGTCTTATAGTTCACACACACATGTACAGGGTGTCTTCCATGAGTCACACACACACATGTACAGGTGTCTTATAGTTCACACACACATGTACCAGGGTGTCTTATAGTTCACACACATGTACAGGGAGTGTCTTATGAGACACACACACACATGTACAGGGTGTCTTATAGTTCACACACACACATGTATAGGGTGTCTTATAGTTCACACACACATGTACAGGGTGTCTTATAGTTCACACACACACATGTACAGGGTGTCTTATAGTTCACACACACATGTACAGGGTGTCTTATAGTTCACACACACATGTACAGGGTGTGTTATAGTTCACACACACATGTACAGGGTGTCTTATAGTTCACACACACACATGTACAGGGTGTGTTATAGTTCACACACACATGTACAGGGTGTCTTATAGTTCACACACACATGTACAGGGTGTGTTATAGTTCACACACACATGTACAGGGTGTGTTATTGGTCACATAACCTAACCAAATCCAAACCTAACCTAATGTAACCTAACCTTCCACAACCCTAACCTAACCTGACTTAATCTAAGGCATCCTAACTTAACCCTAACCTAACCAAACCGTATTGTGTAATTCCAGGACTCATCACTCGCCTACCGTCCGATGTCAATACTCTTCGGCCAATCAGGCGAGGCCCAACCTTACCCCGTGGAAGCGTCGGGATCAACAGAGCCTCCGACACAGGGCCGGCCTCCTCCCGTAGACTCCTCCGAAGTGGACGGAGTGGTGGAGGGCGGAGGAGGCGGCCAACAGCAGGTGACACAGGCTGTTCCGCTCCTGTTGACAAGTTCGGTGCTCCATCCTCCTCCTCCGTTGACGCTCCTGCCTCTGGGGTCCCAAGTGGTGAGTCGACCAGAGGGTTACACACACATGTACGCATCCATATGCACATATAAACACCCATTCATATACACACACATGTATGCATCCTTTACACATACACATTTATTCCCACACATGCATCCATACATACATAAACACCCCTTCATACACACACACATATGTATCTACATGCATATAACACACACACACACACACACACACACACACACACACACACACACACACACACACACTGTCTCACTTATATGTTGTACTTTATAACTTATTACGTTAGGTTATGTTAGTGAAGTGTTAGTTTTTGGTTAGTATTTGGTTAGGTTAGTTTAATGTTACAATTAGTTAAGGTTACTGTTTGGTTAAATTAATCTTCCAATAATCCAAACAAATCAACTAACCCAGGAGAGACACACATAGAGCTACCGATGCATCCTGAAATAATGACAAATTATACTTTATTTTATTTCCAGGGATCTGAGAGCAGCGAGTGAGGTGAACCTTTGGTGAACATTCCTGTAGAAGATTATATATATGTGTTGTGACTCAGGGTAGGTGTTGAGTGTGAGACCTTTGAGAACACCTGTGATGGCGTTAAGTGTTGCTAGGATTGTGAGAACACCTGTGATGGCGTTAAGTGTTGCTAGATGCTAATGAGGGAACTCTGAAAACACCTGTGATGGCGTTAAGTGTTGCTAGATGCTAATGAGGGAACTCTGGAAACACCTGTGATGGCATTAAGTGTTGCTAGATGCTAATGAGGGAACTCTGAAAACACCTGTGATGGCGTTAAGTGTTGCTAGATGCTAATGAGGGAACTCTGAAAACACCTGTGATGGCGTTAAGTGTTGCTAGATGCTAATGAGGGAACTCTGAAAACACCTGTGATGGCGTTAAGTGTTGCTAGATGCTAATGAGGGAACTCTGAAAACACCTGTGATGGCATTAAGTGTTGCTAGATGCTAATGAGGGGACTCTGAAAACAGTAATTATGGCGTCAAGTGTTGCTATAGGCTAGTGTTACACCTGTTTTGACGTCAGTGTTGCCATATGTCAATGAACAGACTTTGAAAAGAATATTTATGGCATCAGTGTTGCCAAATGACATGAGGGAAAATTCTCAAAGGACTGTATGAGGCTTCAGTCATACCACACACCTCATAAGCGAACACTTCAACGCCGATCGCTGCTTCACCGAGAAGTTCATATATACATGAGTTATAATCATGTTTCCTATTAGTTGGATTTACGTTCAAATACTAACGTTATATAGCTACAGCGGAACCTCCATATAACGGACTATATCTCTAACGGAGCCTCGATATAATGGACTTTCCTCACCATATAGTTTGTTAGTTTGGGGTTCTACATCTAACGGAACCTCGATATAATGGACTTTCCTCTCCATATAATCCGTTACATTGGGGTTCTACATCTAACGGAACCTCGATATAATGGACTTTCACCTGTATATAGTTCGTTAGATGGAGGTTTCACACACAGAGCCTCGATATAACGAACTTTCCTCTACATAATATATAGTTCCTTAAATAGAGGTTTCACTGTTAATAGACAATTGTAATAGATATATTTATTCTCTGCGTCCAGATTATGGTCGACGAGGCTCTGTTGGTGTGAAAGTTTAAATAAATAAATAAATATATCCCATTTTACGTTGATGTTACATTGTTTTTATCACTGTTTTAATTTGTTTGTTGATGTATCGAAATATAGGAGTGTAATGGGGACTCATCCTGACGCTTGGTATAGTTGCCGGCGCTTATGAGGCCGCTCGTTATTAAAACTGAATTGACAGTTTTGTGGTAGTTAGTATTTTGATTTGTGTCGATGATCCTAAGACTCTTTATAAATGCCCTCCCCTCCCCCCTCCCCCCCACCCGGAAAAAAATTAAAAATTCTCGTGATTTTCTTCTGATGTAACCAGTGCCGGATTTAGACCTGTGGAGGCCCATGGGCAGCCTCTTTGTGGAGGCCCATGGGCAGCCTCATTGTGGAGGCCCCCCTCATTATAACTACCCAAGAGGGTGGGGTGGCGAGTGAAGCGAGCCTAAACATCTGTGAGTCCCGGGGGACGCTGTAAGACCCCCGGGAAAATTTTGAAATTTGAACACTTCTTTGGAGAATTTTGAAGCCATATGCAGTTATATTGAGGAAATTAGAACATTGAGAAATTTTTAATTAACTGTATATTTATTGACAGTGTACAAATTCCCAACACACAAAAGTGAGACATGACTGGAGTCATTCATGTCGACCAGCCCTGATATAGCTACTACCGCACATGTCAAAAATTTTCAAGAGACTTCACAGAAAAGAACAAATTATTAGTTATTACAGAGAGATGATTCTTTGCATTATTAATCAGATAAACCTGTACTCAAATAATGGTTTTATGTGATGGAATAGATAAACATGAATTTTAAAGAATGAAAATAAAAATAATCCAAATGATTAAACAAATACATAAAATATTGTAACATGTGGAGGCCCCCAGATTGTGGAGGCCCCTGGGCAGCTGCCCACTTTGCCCACTCCTGAATCCGGCCCTGGATGTAACTATCGAGAGGTTGAGCAGTTTGTGGTGTCGTTAGTGCCTGGGATATGAGACACGGATTCTATGCTGTGACGGGCAGGGTTAGTGGAGGATTCTACCTAACTGGAGGTAATCTAACTTGAAGTAACCAGTCTACCCCTAAATAGTTGTCTCCAGGTGATGTAATTGTTTTAACTTGTTGGATAAAATGGTGAAGATGTTAACATATAACCTTACCATAGGTCTACAGGTGTTGTGTTGTCAACTTTATACCAGATAACAATAGACAAATGTTATCAAATCAGACTCTTTAGTAGACTCTTAGATTCAGTCGACTCTTAGATTCAGTCGACTCTTAGATTCAGTCGACTCTTAGATTCAGTCGACTCTTAGATTCAGTAGACTCTTAGATTCAGTCGACTCTTAGATTCAGTAGACTCTTAGATTCAGTCGACTCTTAGATTCAGTCGACTCTTAGATTCAGTCGACTCTTAGATTCAGTAGACTCTTAGATTTAATGGCTACTTTTCACACGACATATGTGGCATTTCTCACAGTTTTACAAATGTTTTTAAGTCACAGTTTTTTCAGATTCCCTTTGGGTTATTTCTAAACTCTGCCTGGCGAAGGGCCTTAGACAACTGTCCCAGGCTCGGCCAAGTGGCGGAGTCTTTACTCAATAGGCGCCTGATGTACGATGATGGTCCGTCTCTCTTGATTAACGGTAGGACTTCCCTGGTCATGTGGTGTATGCTCAGTCTATCAAAAAGCATCCCCGCTTCCCTCGTTGCTTCCACCGTCAGTTCAGATCTTCCGAAGTCTATTATTTTAGTATTAATTGTGTCGCCTATTTCATTTACTAATACATTCGATTTATGGAGGTCGAGATGAACCACTTGTTTGGCATGGAGGCGTTCCATTGTTTCAAAGAGTTGAGCAAGAGCTTCAAGCGACATGGGGGATTTTCTCTTAAAGAGTCTCCCGATAGTCTCTCCCGGACAATATTCCATCAGTATTCCCAATGGATCTTTAATTATACCGTAAAATTTGGGTACTCCTTCTATGTTGCTGATGTAGTCCATGAGTTAAGCTTCCATATATAATTAATTAATATCTCCTGAAAATAGTCTCTTGTGAGCGACTCTGAGTTTAGTGAATTGATTAACTGTTAGAATCCCGCCGTCCACCGTGGCCTTAAAACCCCGGCCTAAATTTTTCTTGAACTCGAATTATTCCTTATGAAATTTTGGTACCTTCTTTATAAATTCTTCAGTGGTTTTTATATCAAAATTTTTATTGTGTCTGAAGATTTGAGCAGCAACACCAGGCGATTCTTTAGAAGAAAACATCCTCAAAAGGTTACCCAAGTGGTGGTTATGGTTGGTGTGGCATCGAACACTCTCATATAATGGGCCAGTGGTGTGTGGAATACTGGAGAATGTCGTCGCATTGCCTCTTAACGCCACAGCAAATTTACGTACAGAGGAAATCGCATCGCCATATTACCTAGGGATCTGTTGTCCAGTGTTACCTTGGTTCATCAGAGGCTTGATACACCCCTGAGCAAGACGACAGGAGGTCCGGCCCGCCAAGTAACCGGCTTTAGCGAGAAGTGACGTAAACATGACTCAATTTTTAGTAATGAATTGAACGGTGAGATGTAAGGCCAATTAGTTTACCGGTGTGGGGAAGAAATGTAGTAAGAGGTTATACCAGTAGCTTATTGTGGACAGTAGTAAGTGACAGTACACAATAATGGGCAGTAGTTAAGAGGATTTATTCTATTGTGGACAGTAGTTTAGATTATTTATTCTATTGTGGACAGTAGTTAAGATTATTTAAGGTATTGTGGACAGTAGTTAAGATTATTTAAGGTATTGTGGACAGTAGTTAAGATTATTTAAGGTATTGTGGACAGTAGTTAAGATTATTTAAGGTATTGTGGACAGTAGTTAAGATGATTTAAGGTATTGTGGACAGTAGTTAAGATTATTTAAGGTATTATGGACAGTAGTTAAGATTATTTAAGGTATTGTGGACAGTAGTTAAGATTATTTAAGGTATTGTGGACAGTAGTTAAGATTATTTAAGGTATTGTGGACAGTAGTAAGATTATTTAAGGTATTGTGGACAGTAGTTAAGATTATTTAAGGTATTGTGACAGTAGTTAAGATGATTTAAGGTATTGTGGACAGTAGTTAAGATTATTTAAGGTATTGTGGACAGTAGTTAAGATGATTTAAGGTATTGTGGACAGTAGTTAAGATTATTTAAGGTATTATGGACAGTAGTTAAGATGATTTAAGGTATTGTGGACAGTAGTTAAGATTATTTAAGGTATTATGGACAGTAGTTAAGATTATTTAAGGTATTGTGGACAGTAGTTAAGATGATTTAAGGTATTGTGGACAGTAGTTAAGATTATTTAAGGTATTGTGGACAGTAGTTAAGATTATTTAAGGTATTGTGGACAGTAGTTAAGATGATTTAAGGTATTGTGGACAGTAGTTAAGATAATTTAAGGTATTGTGGACAGTAGTTAAGATGATTTAAGGTATTGTGGACAGTAGTTAAGATAGGTACTACAAGATTTTGGTCACCGTACTACAGAATGGATATAGAATCCTTGGAAAGAATTCAGAGGAGAATGACGAGACTAATCCTGGGCATTAGGAACCTTGAGTACAGAGACAGGTTAAAGCATCTTAATTTGCACTCCCTTGAGAGACATGGAGCGAGGGGCGATATGATAGAGGTGTATAAATGGAAGTCAGGGCTGAACAAAGGTGACATTACAAAGGTACTCAAACTATCCAACCAGGAGCGAACTCGTAACAATGGTTTTAAATTAGACAAATTTAGATTTAGGCGCGAAAGGTAAACACTGGTTTGGAAATAGAGTAGTGGATGAATGGAACAAGTTACCAAATATCATCATTAACTCGAATACGCTGGATAGCTTCAAATATAGGTTGGATGCTTATATGAGCAATAGGGGTTGGGTGTAAGCTATAAGACACCCTGTACATGTGTGTGTGAACTATAAGACACCCTGTACATGTGTGTGTGAACTATAAGACACCCTGTACATGTGTGTGTGAACTATAAGACACCCTGTACATGTGTGTGTGAACTATAAGACACCCTGTACATGTGTGTGTGAACTATAAGACACCATGTACATGTGTGTGTGAACTATAAGACACCATGTACATGTGTGTGTGAACTATAAGACACCCTGTACATGTGTGTGTGAACTATAAGACACCCTGTACATGTGTGTGTGAACTATGAGACACCTTGTACATGTGTGTGTGAACTATGAGACACCCTGTACATGTGTGTGTGAACTATAAGACACCCTGTACATGTGTGTGTGAACTATAAGACACCCTGTACATGTGTGTGTGAACTATAACACACCCTGTACATGTGTGTAATTATAACACACCCTATTACATGTGTGTGTGAACTATAACACACCCTGTACATGTGTGTGAACTATAAAGACACCCCTGTACATGTGTGTGTGTGAACTATAACACACCCTGTACATGTGTGTGTGTGAACTATAAGACACCTGTACATGTGTGTGGCAGACATAAGACACCCTGTACATGTGTGTGTGAACTATAAAAGACTTACCCTGTACATGTGTGTGTGAACTATAACACACCCTGTACATGTGTGTGTGTGAACTATAACACACCCTGTACATGTGTGTGTGAACTATAACACACCCTGTACGTGTGTGCAGACTATGGCCTGCCTGTGCATGTGTGTGTGAACTATAACACACCTGACACGTATTATTGTGTGAACTATAACACACCCTGTACATGTGTGTGTGAACTATAACACACCCTGTGCATGTGTGTGTGAATTATAACACACCCTGTACATGTGTGTGAACTATAACACACCCTGTACATGTGTGTGTGAACTTCTCAACTTTACCCACCCTGTACATGTGTGTGTGGTTTCTCATACACTGTGTACGTGTGTGTGTGAACTGTAACACACCCTGTGCACGTATTGTGAACTGTAACACCCTGTACGTATTGTGTGTGAACTATAACACACCCTGTGCATGTGTGTGTGAACTATAACACCTGTACA